TCTGGCGTGAAGCAGTAATGCGTTTTAGTTTGAAGGGCGGGGCAGCCGTTGTAACTATACTGAGACCTAAGAACTCATATCTCAAGGTGGGTGGCGGCATTTACGTTGTAGATGTCTGTGGACTCCAGTATCCACTTAACACCAGGTGGGCTGTGAGCTCGTCCACCCATATAATAAAAATAAAAAAAACGGCGTTAACCACGTGTAAATTCCGGCCAGTAATAGAATGCTTTTATGGCGGACCGCGATTTACGTTTAAAAAGAAATTGTTTATTTGGCCTACTTGATTACGATTGAGAAACACAAAAATTGTGCAACTTAGGATAAATGCTGTAATTGTCCGCTAAATTTGAGAGCCGCCGCATTCTTTCTTAAAACAAAATGAAGCCTGCAGAATGAGAGATGGCGGAGGAAAATTATTCTCCACTCTAGACTCATCACTTCCTTCAGACTTCAGACTCAGGTTAGAGGGAGACTAGTCTTGATCTATAAGATTCTGTAATCATGTACATGTTTACTAGAATGAAATGGCGACAGGTCTCTGCAATGTCCCTTCAGCTCAAGGGGAAAATTTACAAAACGATCATTAGAACTGTCGTGCTGTATGGATCTGAATGTTGGGTGACGAAAGTAATGCATGAAAGAGGAGTGCATGCGGCAGAGATGCGAATGTTGAGATGGATGTGTGATGTGACAAGAATCGACAATGGAATGGATGAATGAGTATACTAGAGGAACTGTGAAAGTAGCCTACAAAGCCTAGTAATTAACAAATTAAAGAGTTGACGGTTAGCGTCGTATGGACATGCGATGTGTAGAGAGAAGATGCATGCGACTAGGAGATGTATGAAAAAGGTAGTGCAAGGTAGAGGGGAAAGAGGTCGACTGAAGAAGAAATAGATGGAGTGTGTGAATGACGATATGAGAGAGAGAGAGGAGTGAGTGTTAAGCTGACAGCTGATAGAAGAGAATGGAAGAGAAAAATTAGCTATGCCTACCCCACCTAGTGGGATAAGGTGGAGAAAAAGAAGAGGAGAAGTATATGTTTCCTATAAAAATTTAATGAATACCACCAGAATAACACCTCCGTAAATGAATTACCCGTACAATACCATAATGAACAGAATACCTAATATATTCTCGTTACACATGTAATAATTATTTCTGTGTGTGACTAAGATAGTTCTAGAAAATTCAATGTCAACAGAAATACAATTGCAATACTTTAATGATTATTTTATACAATCATTGTCCTTGTATTTATTGTTCAGATTGCTGAGATTACCTACAGCACTGGTGCTAAGTCTCCGATTTATACTAAACTATTATACATAAAAATTACTGATGAGAATAAAATTTAGAAAAGGTGGCAAAAGTAAAGGTTAGGAAAGTGTGTAACAGATACTTTTACTAATATGCACTTGCATTAGTTTAAAAGGTAAGTGGTGGCTGGCATAAAGTATTTTCATACAGTTAATAGTATTATTCATATCATTATTATTTTTTAACATACTTCATCTACTTCTATTTAACTGTAATAGAATCTTTCAACATAATTTTCTGACAGTCAAAACATCTGATTCACTTTAAAATGAAAAGTATGTTTATTGATCCACATCATTGCTTCTTATCAATTAGTGATTGAAGACTTCTTTAATGCAAATTAGGCCTGTTTTAGGAGAATTTGATTACCTTCATTTCATTTAATAATCAGGATAACCAGGAAAAATGAAGTATTTTGGTCCGGTTAGACATTCAAGTATATATATAATTATACACATTATTTTGATTACATATTTATTTTTGTTTGTGAATTTGACAAGAGCCATTTATGATGATATGGCCCATTTTCCATTTTCAAACAATAATTAAAGATTATCCAAAATTTGTGATGGGCCTCCTCAATGGAGGGCAAGGACAAAATAACATTATACAAATTAACTATGTTTGAAATCAACAATTGAGGAAAATAACAAAATTGCTTAAAGTTCAATTTAATTAATTATTTTGGGTTAGTCAGATTGTCTGAATACTGTGAAATCATTGATAGACAAGGTAAAAGGGTACTAATTAAAAACAATATAATTGACCAATAATGTTAAAAAATAATAATGTTAGAGCACACATTAGAAAGGATTAGACCTAGCACAGCTAGGCTGCACCTTGCTGACAACTCATTATTGTATTTGATCAATGTATTTATGTATCATTGTATCAACATATTAAAAAATATAATCAAGTTTACAATAAAATATAAAGTGAAGGTGTTCCTGGTTGCAAATGAATTTGATTTTCAGTTAATTTTTTTCTTTATTGGACCACCGATCATTATTATTTACATTACATAAAATAAACATCAGGCTTAAATTTGGTTTAGTGTTTTTTGCTAAGATGACTATTATACATGATGAGTAATTGATACAACCACATGTTTTTAAGATAAATATGATGTGACCAACCAATATAAGGTAAGTTCCCAATTTCTAGCACATCTTAGCAAGACACAGCAGTTTGGTTGATTGGCCATTGACAGTGATCACTGACAATAAAAATAACAATTTTAAGAAGTATTTTCAAGTACCACCTTAATAAGCATATTATAAAGCCAGAACACTCCATTTATTAGACAAAGCTTTACAGTACAAAATATGCATTTCCGAATAATAACAGATTTATCAGATTAAATTTCAAATCTAAGTTCATTTACCTTCCCTACCTAATTGTGTTAACTGATAATGATATCTATAGATAAGCTGTTTTCAATGTTGATAACACGTGTATTTAGCTTGAAACTAGCTGGCTCCACATTAAAAAGGGTGGGGTGAATTTATTAGTCATATGGGCTAATGTTATTAGAAACAAAGACACCCTACAGGGGAGCTCGCAAGCCACCCCATTTCTCCGAAACGCCGTCATGTCGTCCCCACAGGATAGTTCTAAACCCCAATTGAACAAATTGCTACGGTAAAATACAAGGTCATGTGAATTTAAGTAATTTATATGAAAACCCGAAGACAAAATGCAACACGCTTCGCACTTCGCGTGTGGCCGAAAATTGCGAAGAAATCAGTGTTCTAAATTCAAAATATTTCTTTTTAATTACTAGTGAATCAAGAAGCTTGAGATTAATCGAAACAAACAACCTTTGATTAGGATATCATTCATGAAATAGCATATTTTAAATAATAATATACGTCTAATCGATGACCTGCAACCGCGCGCTCGTCTGTTTACGTTATTGTATCGGTCAAGAAACTCAGACGGGAACAAAAAAGAGCACGTTGGACTTATAAATTATAAATGAACATAAATAGATCGAAGTGTATACAATGGTTTTAATAATAATATTTATTTGTTTTGAAGGTTCGTCCGATGAACCCGATACATACCTCATTTTGAATCTGTGTACTTTGTTGAGATCAATCCGTATGCACTATTGCACAGCACGTCACAATTGTTCACTTGCTATTTGCATTTTTCACTAACACATAATTACTATATTATTACCGACTTGCGAATACGTCTGGAATACTACGTGCGGTAGCCATTTTTGTCAAAAAACACAATTTTTTCCGACTCCGATTCCCGGATTCGAAAGGCTGCGAGTCGCACAGAGATGACGCTAGCGCCGTTGTGAAACGAGTGGAAATAAAAATGGATCATTGAACCAGGCCCAGGGTTCGGGGAGAACCAATTTGCAGACAAGTCCGAAACAGACTAACGGATCTACTAAAAGGACCGTTTCCACAGAGTGAATTTTACATTTGCGTAAAATACATCAACACTTTTACACTACTAGAAACACATTGTACTTACAGAGGCATATATTTATTGATCAATATACATACAAAACCTTTGATGAAAAGGTGAACACTAAACTTATATTGGAGGTCCGTTTTATCGATNTGCAGACAAGTCCGAAACAGACTAACGGATCTACTAAAAGGACCGTTTCCACAGAGTGAATTTTACATTTGCGTAAAATACATCAACACTTTTACACTACTAGAAACACATTGTACTTACAGAGGCATATATTTATTGATCAATATACATACAAAACCTTTGATGAAAAGGTGAACACTAAACTTATATTGGAGGTCCGTTTTATCGATCTTTACCAACAGAAACCAGTCAGTCAATCGGAACAGTGAACATTCCGTTCATGAGATAAGTTAAATTTAATTCAAGAAAATAATGCTACCAGGTGGAGTTACAATGTTGGGACGGAACTAGTTTAAGTCATCTCGTGATCAGGCGATGGTGACGTTCGGCGTATTTCAAACTTTAGAGGTGTGAATTAAGTGCCACGCCGCGCCGCCTGTACGTGACAATTGTGGGACCCGTGGCACAGTACATGACTCCAGCAATGTAATTTAAGACAAGAGTGGCACTGCTTTGGGGCTTAACGGGCCGCCAATCCAAATGGCGGACTTATAGTCGTTTTCTGACTCCGTAAACGTCCTTGGGGTCGACGTATGTATCGATGTATGCATGTCTGCCTAATCTTACTCAACGTTGTGCATTCATCTTGTCTTTATTCAGTCCCAAGTGGAATTCGGACGCTCGGAAGAGGAGTTGAGGAGAGTCACACATACACTACGCGTTTCCTCGGTAGAGAATATCGCTGGAGACTTGGCTTTCGACATAAGAAAGTAATGAGTCTATTTTGTACTTTATTTTGTAGTTTTACTACTAGCATACAGCTCCTTCTCAAATATCGCAAACAGTGGATACAAATGATACCCTTAACGAATGTCGCATAAATTGTTATGTTAATAATATAATAATAATTTATTTATAAACCTTGAAAACATTTACACATAACAGTTTGCTAAAAACTCTCCACACTAGGCACTGCCTGTCTCTGTCTGTGATGAAAGATCAGTTTACCTGCCAAACCACGCTAGTAATTTTTGAATAAAAACAGAAACCTAACAAGACTCATCTCCAATGTTTTAATTTAAAAAAAAGTTCTTGACATCTGTCAAACTCCTGACGCATGAGTAAAGTTTTTGTGCAAGAAATCAGCCTGTTTTCATTTCAACAAAACATTTTGATTTTCGAACCCGCAAAAATAATGGTGGGCGCAATGCCTGTTAATTTACTACCAAAATTTTGCAACGGTGCCATGGACAGTTGTAATGGCGTCGATGGAAATGATAATAACGTCTATATTGGTAGTCGTGTGAAATGTAATGACGATTTCGGGACTGTTAGGTATATTGGTGAGGTTCAGGGCTACAAGGGATTATGGTACGGCATAGAATGGGACAACGAGTCCAGAGGCAAGCACGACGGGTGCTTAGATGGCATCCAGTACTTCAAGACTTCCAAACCTAGTGCCGGTTCTTTTGTTCGTCCAAACAAGATCATCCCATCGAAGACTTGCGCGGAAGCCATAAGACAATATTATGGAGATCCGGAGGTATGTTCATAAAAATTGGTAACTAGGTTTTGTGACTAAACATTGAAGTTGGCCTCGGAAGTTTTGTGTGGGTTGATCCACTCTCTAAGCTAATTTTTTCATACTAAGTGTGTACATTTCATTACACTATGTTACAGTATGTACTAAGAGTGTACATATATAATATTATATTATAATTTTTGTATATGCAATACTATAATTTTTAAGAGTTCAATTTTGGTATCATCTAATTTAAACTAAAGATAAGTAATTAAGCTTCAATCAAACTTTAAATTAACTTATTAACTTAACTTAACTTGATAATAATTTGTGAAAAATTTATATTATGATTAGCCTAGCTTAGTCGTGGTCGATGGACCATGAATGGCATGATTGTGCCAGTTAGTGTTTATCGAAAAAGTGTTTTAAAATATTATTTTTGTTTTAGGACGAAACATTAGCTGCTCACCGCAGAACCATCATCAATGAATGGAAGAGGGAAATGGGAGCGCCTTTCATCGAAATGGTTGGTTTTGAAAAAATACACCAAAAACAGTGAGTATGATGATAATTGCATAGTGACACTTTCACTGATATAAATTAGGATTATGTTACATGAAATTCAATCAGCCTCTATTTGATTAATCGGAGCATGGAAAAAGCCACAGACAATGTTAACTGAGACTTAGAATTGAAGTTTGAAGTTGGGTGGTTAAGTTAACATTTTCGATGTCTATGGACTCTAGTAAATACTGATCATCAGGTGGGCTGTAAATTTGTCCACCTATGGGAGCAATAAAAATAATCATAAAATTTATACAGTAAAATTGAGATTTCAGCCTCATTCATGCCTGCAGTTGGTGAAGAATTCACATGCAACTCAATGTGCTTTACTTAACACCAGGCCATGAACTTAGTCGTTCATATACAGAGTCTAATGAGTTTTAGTGTCTCAATGATAACAACCTCTCTGTTTATCACGACAATCTGTTTTATAATTTAACTTATATGTTAACCTACGACAATCTGTTTTATAATTTAAATAAATAATCAGGGACATCATATTCTCATCCGTTTTTCAAGTCTTAAGATATAATAAGAACATCTTTGTACAGCTTAACACAGTTTCATGGTCTTTAATGACTGAGATACGAGTTCTAAGGTCTCAATATCATTACAATGTCTTCAAACTGAAACGCATTATTGCTTCACAGCAGAAATAGGCAGGGTGGTGTTGCCTACCCGTGCAGATTCACAAGAGGTCCTACCACCAGTAACAAATGACTAATGTGTTGTTGACATACTTGAATAATATAATAACAACTAAAACTATGAGATTAAACTATTTAATTAGTTTGGTCAAACACACACAATAATCTGGTCCCAAACTAGGACTCCTAACACTTACTACAGAATTCTTTCACAGCAGTTGTGACTTCACCTATTTTTGTTTATCAAGTACTGATATTAGGTTACATTTCAATGGTCTGTGAGTACCGAATATCCTATTTGGTTTTATGTGAGATTGCCAGTGATTGATGTTTCAATCATCTGGCAAAAGGCTCTGATCACGCTTAGCACTGTGTGCACAATAAACATCTTTTAATTAATAAAAAAATGGCAATTGAAGTCACAAAAGTCATTGTTTCAAATAACATTTCCAGGAAATTTGATCGCTTACTAGAAGTATGCGTTCACGACCAGAATGTATCAAGAGCTGGTGATGTGTCTTCTCTATGTCCCAACGTGAGAAGCCTTGACGTCTCACGTAACCTCTTCTCCAACTGGCGTGAGGTCATACAACTGTCTGCTCAACTACCAGACTTGAGAGATTTGGATGTTAGGTAAGCGATATATTACAGTCTATTTTCTGCACTATGCAATGAAATGTCAAGGTTAAAGTAATTACAATGCAAGTTAAAACCCATATCTAGAGCTGTGAATGGGCGACTAATGAAGGTATTTTTCATATAATGACTCAGTATCAGATACTGTATCACAGCACATATCATATAATGATTTATTAAAGTAATAATTTATTAGATGTTGAGATAACTAGTTGCAAGTAATACTCATTCATCATGATTTTCTTTATTACTTAGATGAGTGGGCGAGCTCACGGCCCACCTGGTGTTAAGTGGTTATCAGAGCCCATAGACATCAACAACGTTAATGCCATCAGACAAGCCTTGAGACAAGACTTCTAAGGTCCTCGACGACCCGTCGGTCGGGCGTCCTCGGGGTGGCGCCGCGTGTCTGGTTGTAGTGTTGACCGCGGGAACCCCCCTACTCTGACTGGGTTTTAACCCCGGACGGAGATCGGACGCCGGGTGTAAGAGTGCAGGGGAGTCGTTTAGTGGGTGGGCCCTAAATTCCTTGGGCCCGCGGTCTGCTCTCAACACCTGCAGATCGTTGAGTCTCACATACCCCGCGCGCCCCCTAAGCGCGGGGACCTCGTAGGAGGTTCGGCCCTCGGCCCGAAAAAAAAAAAAAAGACTTCTAAGGTATCAGTAAGATAACAGTACAATGGCTGCCCCACTCTTGAAACTGAAACGCATTTCTGCTTCGCGGCAGAATTAAGTAGGGTGGTGGTACCTACACTTACTACTAAACTACCCTAAAATTTTTAGATTTCCTTGGTTTTATTACATGATGTTATTCCCTCACTATGGAAGTCAATCTTGAACATTAGTTTATTTCATTTTAAATATTGGTACCTGCCCGTTGAATTTGAAAAGGGGGACGGTCGATACAAATGCACTGGGCCTTTTTCCCTTCAGGCCACAATGACTTTGACCGTCACTGAAACTTTTGCTTACCATTGTCTAGTCCTCCATTCCAAAGTCTAATTTACTAATAACACATCGTTTTTTTCAGCAAGAACCGTATGCTCATTGATGCGCCCACAGAAATACTTGCACAACTTTCAATCAACTTTTCCAAGCTTGAAAAGATCAATCTTTCTGTCTGCGATTATACATGGACGGACATATTGAAATTATCACATTTATGGCCTAAGATACATGAGATAATAGCTGCCTACAATCGTATAGATGAAATCGAACCACCGCTTGTAACTCTGAGGAGTTTATCTGTGCTGAGACTGGATGGAAACCCGATCACCTCTTGGAGTGAAGTGATGAATCTTGGTGCTCTCAATCTGAAGGTTTTGAGTTTGAACGACTGTCTCATTGCGGAGATTAGGTTCGGTGATGATTGGAATCAGAGAGTTGAGACATTTAAAAATTTGGAGATTTTGTTTTTGAATCGAAATAGGATTAATGATGTGAGTGATATTTAATAAGAATAATGAATAACAATAATACCGTTACAATTTATAAGATAAATAAGGTTTTGACAATTGACAATGTTTTTTAAATTTATTATTATTATATATACTATTGTTTTTAAATAGGATTATAATTGTATATAAAAAAAAACAACTATATAAAAAATAGATAGTAGCAGTGCTTACAATTAGTATGAATAACAATATAATGATTTAATATGTTAAAAATAAACATTATATTACTTATTGTTTACTGGTAGTAGGACCTCTTGTGAGTCCGCGCGGGTAGATACCACCACCCTGCCTATTTCTGCCGTGAAGCAGTAATGCGGTTCGGTTTGAAGGGTGGGGCTGCCGTTGTAACTATACTCGAGACCCTAGAACTTATATCTCAAGGTGGGTGGCGCATTTACGTTGTGGATGTCTATGGGCTCCAGTAACCACTTAACACCAGGTGGGCTGTGAGCTCGTCCGGCCATCTACGCAATAAAATAAAAAATACCTTATATTGATACAAAAGAATGGCTCGGGCCCAATTAAAGAGAAATAAACAAATATTTTGATTTTCATTTTGTTTCAGTGGCGTTCCATAAGTGAATTAAACAAACTCAGCTCGTTGAAAAAGCTTTATTTCCTCAAGAATCCGATACAAACCACCGAAGACTACGACACAGGATCGCAGCTGGTTGTCGCTAAGATTGGCACTTTACAGGTAAGATGATGATGATGGCATAGTTGACATTTATTTATGGGCATGATTGGGAATCCGATATTGGACGTTTTCGCTTATCTTAGTTGTTAATTGTCGTCAGTTAAATAGCAGAAGATAACTGAAGATAAGATAATTTTGAAGAGTGAAATCTCCAAAGCACAAGAAATATTGTTGTTGTTGATTTACCTGATATTGATTGTGGGATGAAATTTAATAATAAATAATTTGATCAAATGAGGTGAAATCAAATAGTGTCTCAATAAAATGACGGGGATTTACTGTGACTTTAATGAAATTTTTTGAAGAACACATGAAGCCAATTCCAGCTCTTTTGTTACCCTGGTTTCGCTTTCACAGAAACTAGACTTAAGTCACGATTATCAAACATTTACACTCGACGAAAACAAAAAAATAACGAAATAAAACAACTCGCTTATTTTCGTTCGTTCCCGCCATAAAAACCCTTCTTTCCGCCATATTATTTGGTGTGGCCAGCACAAAATAAAAAAAATGTACTGAAAACGCATATTATCTGATATCAGGGTAGCATTTAAATCGTTTTGGTTTTTTTTTCTTTGCGAGTATTGTCGTAAGTGTTCTTCCCTGTGTGGACAATGACTGTCTATAGATCATTAAGCGTCCTGTGTTACAATGCTCGAGAAGACGGTCACAACCTCGAACAGCCAATGGTGAAACAGCAAGCTACAGGGTTAACGTCATAGTAGACGCAGTCCCAAAGGAGGGTCGGATTAAAATACGATCTTTGACCATCACCTTTGACCTTTGGCTTTGGAATGAGTTCCCCTCCACGGTGTTTCCCGAGCGCTACGACTTGTCCTTCTTCAAACGAGGCTTGTGGAGAGTACTCAACGGTAGGCAGCGGCTTGGCTCTGTCCCTGGCATTGCTGAGCTCCATGGGCGACAAGTATCAAGTTCTACCAAGCCAAGGATCACAGCGGACGGAGGGAAATCGTACGTGAGAGAATGATGCAGCGGAGGAGTCACTTAGTAATGAGGAAAGCGACGCGTGGAGGAGCTAACATAGAAATAGACGCAATTGTACATATTTTTAGGGTTTAATTTCGCGTGTACATTACTTTCCAAACACCTGTGGACGATAATTGTGTTATTGGTTACATTTTATTCTTGGTAAAGTTTAAAATATAAATATAGTAGACGTGACATCTCAAGTCTATGTCTACCAATTGCCCCGCCCCCACTAGGGTCAACGATTTAATGATGTCTACGGGCCTCATTACCGATGATAAGGAACATTATGAACTTATCATGCACGCGTATGTGGCCCACGTGTCACTTTCACGAAGCAGTAATACTGCACAATTGGGGAGGAATTTTAGAAGTCGTCGTGGCCTAAAGGATATGACGTCCGGTGCATTCGTATCTAGCGATGCACCCGTGTACGAATCCCGCGGGCGGGACCCGGCGGGTACCAATTTATCTAATGAAATACGTACTCAACAAATGTTCACGGTTGACTTCTCCACGGTGAAGGAATAACATCGTGTAATTAAAATCAAATCCGCAAAATTATGATTTGCACAATTACTAGTGGTAGGACCTCTTGTAAGTTCGCGCGGGTAGGTACCAACACCCTGCCTGTTTCTGCTGCAGTAATGCGTTTCGGTTTGAAGGGCGGGGCAGCTGTTGTAACTATACTGAAACCTTAGAACTTATATCTCAAGGTGGGTGGCGCATTTACGTTGTAGATGTCTATAGCCTCTCTTGTAACTCTTTATCATTAGTCGTGAGTTCATACCTCGTCTAAGAAATAAAAGATAATTCTTTTCCGAACTCTATACATTGTTTCGCGTGTTTCAGGAATTGAATGGCTCAATAATAACCGGGGAGTTGCGTAGGGGCGCTGAATATGATTACCTGAAGCGTTACGGTGGAGAATGGAAGGTCGCTCAGCTCGATGTTGAGGCGAAAGCGGCCTTCGATGCCGAACATTGTCGCTTTGAGGAGCTCATCCGTAGTGAGTTGATTATATCGATTAATATCACCCTTATGATTTTAGTGCTGAACTGATTGTCACATATTTTGCAGGAACTGCTAAAGGATATTTGAAAAAAACTTCGACTTTATAAAACAATTCAAAAGTCAATGCTAAATTCACAGCAAAATCTATATAGTATAGTACTATATAAATCTACAGTGGTTTTTACGTATGTTCCGTTATAACTACTGAATGCATCCGATTGACTTGAAACTTGGTATCCATGTAGAAAATACATGTACTTAATGGATAGGCTAATATTTATATGAGTGTTGGACTCCTTAATAATAATGACAATAAATAATAATGTTAATTTTAAATGCCCAGCGAAGCGGGCGAGTAGGGCTAGTAACTTTATATGGTTATTTATAAAGGTTAACTTAAAATGCTATATATATAATACCTAAAATCAAATTGTGCAATAGTCGATATTGCGACGCTCCGCACTTCATACGCATTAATCTAGAGTCGATTTATCAACGGTTCTCGATCAAAGGGTTAATGACGAATAATTATTTTACCGTTTTATTTCTTCTCCAGAATACGGAATACCGGAAGACAGCCTCTTGGTCAAGCTGCCGAAAATAACGACGCTGACATCGCAACTTTTAGAAGTAACATTGAGAGACGAAAACGGAAAATCGTTTAAGAAAAAGTTCCCATCTACGATGGCCGTCCAGAAGCTGGTCACACTGTCGCAGAGATTGTTCTCGAGAGCCGGCAACACCGGTACACCTCTACTGTATGTTCTGGATGAACAAATGGATGGGGCTGAAATATATCTCGACAATTCTATGAAGGATCTCGCTTATTATTCGATTAAAAATGGCGATGTTATTCTAGTTAAATTCAGATAGAAATATGTGAGAATATATTATGTTATTCTTGTCAATTTTTATTACGCTATGCGTTTTGTTTAAGAAGTATTTAGACACGATCCAAAAGATGACTGAAATAAAATTGTTAAGTAGAAACCGCATGTGGTTGGAAAAAGTACCATCCATACAAATTGGCGTGAAGTCTGACAACACTGAAGGCAGTATGCGTTGTAATTGGCGCGTAATTTAATTTGAAACATCAAAGAGCTTTGTAAATAAGTATTTGACGAAAAATTTATTGTCTCAATTGCGATTAATTTTCGTGGAGTTTATAAACGAATATTTATTTTTAAATTTGGTTGTTTTATTACAAAAACCCCAAACTTGAATCGTTGACTAACTCAGATTATTATTTACTGGCAGACGGTAAGTGTAAAACGTGAAGATATATAAGACCTTAATAAGGCCTGCCGTGTTGTATGGATCAGCTTGTTGGACAACGAAAGTGGCGGATGAAAGGCGATTGCATGCAGCAGAGATGCGAATATTGCGATGGATGTGTGGAGTAACGAGAATGGATAGAATACGTAATGAATATGTTAGACGAAGTCTGAAAGTGGCATCTGTGACAGAGAAGCTGAGGAGTGCGCGTTTGGGATGGTATGGACATGTGATGAGACGAATTAAAAATGAGGTTGTTAAGAGAGTGTTAACTATGAATGTGGAAGGATATAGAGGAAGAGGTAGACCTAAGAAGAAATGGATGGATTGTGTGAAAGACGATATGGGTAAGAGGGGAGTGAGTGAAGAAATGGTATAAGAAGAGTATGGAAGGAGAAAACATGTTGCGCCGACCCCAGGTGACTGGGAGAAGGGCAGGATAATGATGATGATGATTGTAAGTGTAAAACGTGATAAGTAAAGATAGTTTAATAATAGAAAAGTGTATTTGCTTATCGTTGTAAACATGTCCTATCGGATCCTCGCGATCTACTCTCAGTGCTTTGAAGCTCTCCAAGCACTGGTCACTGTATTCTTCAAACTCGACACGCAATCAAACCCATAGACACAGCTCACTGTGATTCCCGCCAGATCTTCTCAGAGGATCGCGATTCCGATCTGGTGGTAGATTCAGCGAAGAACGGCTCTTGCTAGGGCCAGTGTTAGCAAATCCTCTTACACTGGTGGTAGGACCTCTTGGGAGTCCGCACGGGTAGGTACCACCACGCCGCCTATTTCCGCCGTGAAGCAGTAATGCGTTTCGGTTCGAAGGGTGGGGTAGCCGTCGTAACTATTCTGAGACCTTAGAACTTATATCTCGAGGTGGGTGGCTAAGAAATAAAAAAAATAAAAAAAAAGATTGAGTCCGTGAGTTTACCTACCTTTAACGACTTTAATACAGTAAAAAGCTCCTTATTCGCGCTTCCTTAAATTTGTGTTTTCACAATTCGCGGATTTAAAAAAATGCGACCCAATTCCTATATTCGCGGATGTAATCGGTACATACAAACTGGTAAAAAGATTCGCAAGTGGGTATCCAATCGAATATCCTTTGTAAATGCTTTTAACTAGTGGTCATCCATAAATTATGTCACCGGTCACACGTTGATGGGGAAGGGGGGTATCACCGAAATGTGACAAGAGGCATGGGGGTCAATAGTTTTGTGACGTCACATGTTAAAATTTAAAATATTAAAAGGCGAAGCTTAGATGTGAATAAAAAACTTTAAATATGATGACCTTGAACTATAGTTATTAACAATTTAGCATTCTCGCTATGAGATTATCTCTCATGCCACGTCATTTAACTTATAATTTAACTTACAAGCATAAGTTGAAAAAATGTGTGACGTCACATTGGGGGGGTGGTTGGGGGTTATAAAATATGACAATCTGTGATAAGGACGGGGGAAGGGTTCAAAAGACCTAAAATTGGTGTGACATAATTTATGGATTGATGGCTCCCTAACACAACTCTAAACACGACTAATAAAAAATAGACCTTATTACAACCACGCCTAAAGTATGTTGTTAAATGATATCACCTAGGAACGTATCCCTTATAATCCCTTCGACAAATGTAAATTACCATTCCATATTCGATGGTTTCGGTATTCGCGGCATATTTACTGAACACAAACAGCGAATAAAGAGCTTTTACTGTACAATATTTTTATTACTCATTTAAAATCCTGACCAAGGTAAAATATATTTGTTTAGTTTTAGCTTAATATTAAGGCGCGTTTTAGAACTGTATTTTTATTTTTTACCTTTCACCTTGTACCTACTGGTGGTAGGACCTCTTGTGAGTCCGCACGGGTAGGTACCACCACCCTGCCTATTTCTGCCGTGAAGCAGTAATGCGTTTCGGTTTCAAGGGTGGGGCATCCGTCGTAACTATACTGAGACCTTAGAATATTGGAATATTGTGTTATTTTTTATTTTTTTTATTTCTTAGATTGGTGGACGAGCTCACAGCCCACCTGGTGTTAAGTGGTTACTGGAGCCCATAGACATCTATGACGTAAATGCGCCACCCACCTTGAGATAACTATACTTGACCTTGTACTATACTTGAGACCTTAGAACTTATATCTCAAGAAATAAAAAAAATAAAAAATAACACAATATTCCAAATTAACAGCTAACATTTGTAACCTTTCATTACGTAGAAATAACACCAGCTGTTACCTTGATACGAATTTGTATAACGTCTTGTGTTTACTAACTTTACTCGCTCAGTGTTTCATTAATATTTCATTTAGTTATTATTATGGATCCAAGGCAGACATTTAAAATGTTTTATCGAGATTTGAGAGATAATGAAAAATAGCCACGTATATTTTGCATATTTTTGCATTCATAACGAAGATTGGCTCAATTAAGAGACTGTGACATTAAAATTTAATTATAATTTTACGATAAAATAACCTAATAAAGTGTCAAATAGTGATAATACTTGTGGGTAGCTATTCAAATTTTACATTTTATATTTGAAAGTATATAAACTTGCTTGGTGTTTCTTGTCAAAACGAGCGGAAAATGCCTTTTTTTTTCTTTCGCGCGCAATGAAATGTGACCGTACGCGTTAAATCGAAGCTGGTACATAAATCGCATAAAAACTTATCAAAATATCGCCATTGGCAACCGTTCTGTCAACATTCAAAACCAATTTTTGTTTACGACTGACAAGTTGGCACTTAGAGGCTGTGATGTTATTGAATCAATCAGAAAAGCAATGGGTAATTGTTTTGGATTATTTCGGCGCAGCGGCGTTAGGCGGCAGATCGTTCTAATACTAATAGGCTTAGACAACGCGGGCAAAACGAAAACTGTGAATAACTTAGTCGGCGATAAAGATGACAAAGTTTTACCTACGATCGGTTTTAAAGCTGTAAATCTGGTGCATAAGGACACGCCTGTGACTATATACGATTTGGGCGGTGGGCCGAATTTTCGACAAATATGGCCACAGTATTACAGTGAAGTGCACGGGGTTATATTTGTTATTGATTCAAGCGATTGTTCGCGTTTGGACGAATGCAGAAGTGTGCTTGAAGATGTTTTGTCGCACGACAGAATATCTGGTGAGTCAGTTACATTGTTTATTTACGTGATGATTTCGTAATAATTTACGTGTCGAGGTTATATGAGGCTGTCAGTGCAAAAGTGGCCTATTCTTACTATAGTATGGATATAATGAGGTTCTAATTTATTTTTACAGTGCTATTAGGCAAAAACAATACGCGCAAAATAATGTTCACACAGCCATCTGTTATTTAGGGGTCAAAATAGGGAATTGGCCGGTTTTGCTTTGGAAATCTATAATGTTTTAAATAAATTGCAATATATATAAGCACAAATATGAAATATTGTGGGTTCAGTCACTTTTGCGCAGACCGCCACATATAACATAATCGCATTGGTTTTTTTTTTGAAATTTTATTTTCATCTACCCTATATTTTATTTTATGAGATTATTAACTGAAACAATGCATGCTGAGTGACTCCTTGATGTAAAGTATTCACCGCCGCTGCATTCACAATTCTATATCTAAATCGCTAATTTACATATCGAAGAGTGAAAGAATATTTGGTTTAAGCGGCATTTCGCTTAAATACGCGACATTTATCTTTGTAATTAAAGGTCCGTTTTATTTGGTATTAGTAACAACAATTTGATGTTTTTAATTGAACTTCAATTAAGTTTACCCCCATCAAAGAGCTGAAAAAGCTTTTTTGATAAGATATTTTTTTCAAATTGTATACTTTCAATGGCTCCCTTGTAAAGATGCAAAAATTTCGCTTAAGTCAAATAGCTTTTCCTCTACCCCTCGATATATTTTCGACATCGAAAATAGAATTTACGAAGGATAGTCATCCTTAGATAGGCAAGGATGGAGAGTCGAAGAGCGGACTCTATAAAAGGCTGGTTATTTAGGTACTGAGACTTTTTAGTGGACTTTTTGGAAGAGCACAAGAAGTTTCGTAGAGGGACTTTGTTTCGTTTGGCCACATTTGTGCACTTTCACGAATGCTAAACAGCTTATAGCCTCCATTAATACGTCTAAACCTGAAGAACCACTAAATTAACTAACTAAAATAATTCACGCAACTTCGCCCCTCGCGTTGTTACGAAGTTGCTTAGACTAGTCTTAGCAAGAGCAGTGCTTCGGAGAATCTACTACCAGATCGGATTCGCGATCCATTGAGAAGAGATCCAGCGAGAAACTAAGTGGGTAGTCTATGTGGATCAACTTGCACGTCCAATTCTTCGTCGCATTTGTCTAGTTTTACGAATAGCACAGAGTTTGTCGCGATGATCCGAAATGACGTGTTTCTGGCTACAGCGTTGCTCGTCTTCTGGGTCGGACATGTTATTCAAGGCGGCCACGATAAGAGGGTTACTATCGTGTCACGCCGCTCTATCGAAAAAGCGTTCTGACGCTGTTTTTAGACACTTAGTTAATGGCTCGATTTCACGCATCATGTACATCTGGGGAGGTGTTTATAAGGGGTAGTGTTAATGAACATTACATTTGCAAAATCACCGTACGTATGCAAGTTTTGTAGAGTGTTACCTTATTATGAAGAACTTGCCCATTGCAATACTGAAAAAATCAGGCGTATTAGTTTGAGTAGTGACTAAATTGAGTATGTCTGATGGTTCTTCTCGTTTAGGTAAGCCCGTGCTTGTATTGGCCAACAAACAGGACAAGACCGGCGCCCTAGACGACATCGACGTTGTAGAGAAACTTAACATCGAACCACTGGTCAATAGGTAAGCTATGATTACACTTTGTGAGGTTTTATTAGTACTAAGTTGGCATTAAGCTTCTTCGACTGTCAGGTAAAACAAAAAAAAAGTTGACAGTCGGGGTCTGTGTATTTAGTGCGAGTTTTTTAACGTTCTCGATCGCGTAAAAGTTACTTAAATTTGTATGGAGTCGGAACAGCGCCCCTAGCGGCAAACGTAGTGGAGTTACTCTAACTCGTGTGTAAAGAACTTATATGTGCATATTGTGTTGCTTTTGTTTTTTTGTGTAACCTAAAATTTCTAAATTTCTTCTTTTTTTTGTTACTTACTTATGCGTCCAAATGTTGCTATCTCCAAATGTTGTTCAGAACTTGTTTGAATGCAAGCTTATCTTGAAAATGTTGTAAGCGAGATTCAGGCATCTGTGAAATATCTTGTTTTGTATGATGGCTACCCATCACGCCTTTTTTGAAGATGTTTGTGTTTGTCTATAATCTAAGACAGCACTAGGGGGCGATGAGATCATCGGCCAAACTCAAGTTTAATCGCGTCACGAATATAATTCAAAGCGAAGATATTCCAAAGCTTAGTTTAAAAATTGAGAATTCTTTGTATCTTTTTTCATCGATCATCGATTTCTTTTATCATACAGATACCGATGTCCGACTCTAGTCGAATCGTACACAGCTAATATCGATACGAAATCGAAAAAGTTGAAGATCGACCCCGGCCTCCGGAAAGGTTACCACTGGCTTCTGAACTACATAATCCGACGCTACGGCGACATCAATTTGAGAGTACAAACCGACATCCACGCAGATCTGGAGAGACGGAAACGGATGCTCAACAAAGCTTCGAACACGAACTCACAGATGAGCAACAGCGACGACATCGCAACCCAAACGGGCTTCGAAAATCCGAATTACGACTTAACGAAATCGATTAATAACACCGAGATAATAATCGTCAAACCGATCAATCACAATCAGAACAGCATCGATTCTACAATAACCGTTGAGAGTATCGATAATTCGGAATCGACTAGCTGCGGTAAGCCGAAGTTGTCGCCATTATTCGGTCGTGCCAGTAACAGCCCTGCAACGGATATCGTTAAAATTGAATTGGAGCCCAAGAGCGCGTTCAGGAAGCTGTCGCCGATCGTGAGGAACAAAAGCGGCGGGAATCAACACATGGATTTCAAGAATCGACCTCAGTCGAGTCCCACTTTAAAGAAGATTAAGGTTAGTCGATATTTTTTTTAGTTAATCGAATTGTTTAAATAGTGTACGCATATAATAAGCCCTACGTTTTTGGTAAGTCTTGCGGCTAGACCGCAAGTCGCATGTTCTTGGTGGTTCTACGCTAGAAATTAGTCTTGAAATTCTACCAGAACATGTAATATTCTTCAAAATTGGATAAACAAATTAAACACAAACAGCGAACTTTCGCTAAATGAAAATGAAACACAGCCTATTCTTCTCGGACATTTTTGGTGGCACGGATAAGACATTGGTGCATTTGAAGAGATCTTTTTTGCTACGTACCATGTCTAGCTTTGGGGTGAACTTCTCTCTTCAGTGTTTCGTGAGCGCTATAATGTCCTCCTCCAAACGAAGGTTGCGTGCGGAGAGTACTCAGCGGTTGTGCCCCTGACATTGCTGAAGTCCACGTTGACCACTCACAAGCTGTGGTCACTGGTTCTCGCGATTATTCCCATTTTCTAGACCGAGCCCCACAGCAAGAACTCTTCGATGGTCGAAGACAAGTCGGACACATCGTACGTTGGCGACGGGAACCGCACCTGGGACGGTGCAATGGTGAACCACAGCCGGATACTAGTCAATGCCGCAGAACTAGCTCAGACGCAGAGGGAAGTCGTGCTAAACGATCGTGGTAAGTCTGGTGTGTTGTCCGTGAATGACGCTGGTCGTGGACCTTTTTTTATATTGCTTAGATGGGTGGACGAGCTCACAGCCCACCTGGTGTTAAGTGGTTACTGGAGCCCATAAACATATACAACTTAAATGCGCCACCCACCTTGAGATGTAAGTTCTAAGGTCTCAGTATAGTTCAACGGTTGCTCCACCCTTCAAACCGAAACGCATCACGGCAGAAATAGGCAGGGTTTTGGTACCTACCCGCGCGGACTAAGAAGAGGTCCTACCATCAGTAATTATGCAAATTATAGTTTTGCGGGTCTGATTTTTATTACACGATGTTATTCCTTCAATGTGGAAGTCAATAGTGAACAGTTGTCAAGTACGTATTTCATCAGAAAAATTGGTACCCGCCTGCGGGATTCGAACACCGGTGTATCGGTCAACACGAATGCTCCGGACGTTTTATCCGTTAGGTCACGACGACTTCGTTCTGGTAGCTTAACAATAAAACTGCGTTGTGTATTCGTTTCACAGATTACACAACGAAATCGGAGGTAGCGCTGCAGCCGCTAACATTACCCATGTCCACCCGGCCGGCCTCCGCCTCCTTGCTGGTCAGGAGACAACTAGAACTGTCGGGACAGCACAAACGGAGACTCAGCTTGCGATGTGAGATTTTTCGTTTTGTGTAGAAAGATGTAGCAACTAAAGGAACTGTTTTTGGTTATTGGTCGCGACGTAACTGAAAATCAGATGACTCGCGGGGTCAACGACCCCGTTGTCTCTGTGTCAAGCTTTTCATTGCGCCTTTGCTTTACATTTCGGTTTTATGTTTTTTTTTTTAATTGATGTTACTGAGATCACACGTTTTTTATGTCTATCTACAAAAATTGGTTCCCGCGTACGGTGATGGCACAGCTGTCTACATCTTATTTCTGTGAATAAGCTCTTATTTGTACAATTTCATTTTTTTTGGTCTGCGATAAAGAATATTATACTCTGTGGTAAGTCTTGGTGCTAAAGCTAACTTGCTGACGCAAGATCAAATTTCGAGGAAAGTTTAGTCGTCTGTCATTATTAAACGTCAGAAATTAAAAAAAACAATTCAAGAGGCCGTAAACGTCATTGATTTTTTTTAAAAGTACATACTTTTTTTTTTAATATTAAAATAGAATAGAAAATAGAAATAAAATTCACTGGTGGTAGGACCTCTTGGGAGTCCGCATGGGTAGGTACCACCACCCCGCCTATTTCCGCCGTGAAGCAGTAATGCGTTTCGATTCGAAGGGTGGGGTAGCTGTTGTAACTGTACTGAGATCTTAGAACATATAACTCGAGGTGGGTGGCGTATTTACGTTGTAAATGTCTATGGGCTGCAGTAACCACTTAACACCAGGTGGGCTGTGAGCTCGTCCATACAACTAAGCAAAAAAAAATAGTTCTTAAACATTGCAATTTTTTTAAAAGATTTTCTTTTCAATTCTAATTACTTAGGTATTGTAAAATTGCTTGCGGGGGCAGGTGTTTCGAATTAAGTAGTTATATAAAAAATATTTTATAATGTTTGTTTACACAGACATGCAACGCAATAAGACCAGCCCGGAACGTATCTCCATGCTTATATATGAACCGAGTAAGGTTCAACAGCGGCATTTAGACAAAGGGGACTTTGAGCACACGACAACAATTAATTGAAGGTTTGTTTCTAGTATCTTTGAAGTAAACACCGCACGAGACATTACGCAAAATACCCTATGAATCATTCTAATATTAATATAAAAATTCGGTCAGTCAATTTAAAAAATTTCACTCGCATATCATTAGTTGTTGTATATAAATTGTTTATATATATAAACAATCTATTTTATTAGGTTTTTACGAATCATAGACAACGCGAGACGTAATGTACTCAAATTATATAAATATGTACCTACTTTTCGATCGCATTGTATTTGTTGCTCCAGCTGTTAAGTTGCTATTTCGTGAACAAACACTTATTATCAGATACCAGTAAATCATACTTTACATAAATCAGCGGTTACCTACTAGATGCATACGGAGCGTAAAGTTAATAACACTCTTGTTGTCATATGTCAAACTTACATTGACACTATATATTGACATATTTTTTTTCAGATGGAACTTCGAGAAACTTCAAATAAATTTTAACAGGGTAGATAATAATGTACAAGAATAGAAATTGTTGGAAAAATATTGAATTTTGAAATTAAATTTGTAATTTTATATGCGAAAGATTTAGCCTGTAACTAGCTAACTAGTCTAAGTTGCTAGAAAATTTGATGGAATAATGTCATTATTTTGATTCGAAAATGAAATTGATTTGCTTTTGGTTTTGAACTAACGTGCATTGTGTTTACGAGTGCTCAGAGCTAGTGGACTACCAAGCTTCAATGGATCACTCTTAAGAATACATCTTTTCACATACAAATTAGTGATGGGTGTTATTGATCAGTCTCTAAAGAGAAAAGTCTTGTGAAGTAATCATAAAAATACAAAGTCTTGATTGTGTGGCCAAACCCGCAGCTTATACAACTTTTTTGGAGCCAAAAGTTAAGTAAGTTATCTACCAATTCTAGAAAATATTTTTACNTCAAGCTTCAATGGATCACTCTTAAGAATACATCTTTTCACATACAAATTAGTGATGGGTGTTATTGATCAGTCTCTAAAGAGAAAAGTCTTGTGAAGTAATCATAAAAATACAAAGTCTTGATTGTGTGGCCAAACCCGCAGCTTATACAACTTTTTTGGAGCCAAAAGTTAAGTAAGTTATCTACCAATTCTAGAAAATATTTTTACCTTCAGACTACGACGGCCCCATTGCACGGGATTCCTTCGTCAATTTACGTGCCATTTAAATACTAAAACATGATAACCTAATTTTTTGACGTATCAAATTTGTTCCCGCCTTTTTTGGTTCAAAGTTTATTATCTCTGGTTTCTATCTGCGTGTTTATTATTTTAATTTTTCTGTACATATGTAATACATGTTGATTAAAGATAATGAAAAACTTGTAATGCTTTCGTTGCCCATTCGATGTTATGAGTCTAGGATATTCTAAGTTAGAAGTTCCCATTTTCAGTTTTTCAGAAAGCTCAATGTAAGCTGTAATTCCGGGTTGGTAATCTGTTGACAGCGTATTAAGAATGTTACAACAGTATAAATCTCAAGTTACGCGTCAATTTCATCACTTGTTATGTAAAAAATATTTACACTGAACAATAATAAATAGGTTAAGATCTGAAATTATAAGTCAATTTGCTTATATTTCGGGTTCTCTTTTAATTATATTTTATAATTGTATGAATATTGGTCTATGCAGGTGTATTTGATATATTATTATGAAAGCGTTTATGTAATTTTAATTAGAAAAGAATAATAATTTAGTTTTGTACTTTGCGTACTTAAGATATTTACTTAAATAATAAATACATAATTCTATATTTATGAATAAAAATGTTGTTTTATTAGATGCTCTTAACGCCATCGAGTTAAAGTTCGATTTGGCTAATCTTTGTGTGTTGCTAGAAAGTTGTTTTTATAGCCCTTGTAGGCGGACGAACTTACGGCCATGCTGGTGAGTGGTTACCGTCACCCATGGACGACAGCAACGTCAAGTCGCTGCTTATCGCCTAATATCTAAAAGCCTCGTTTGAAGAAGGAAATGTCCTAGCGCTCGGGAAACGCCGTGGAGGGGGGCTCATTCTACAGCCGGATGGTACGTAGCAGAAAAGATTTCTGGAAACGCACTGAATGAGGTACTTTGAGGAACTTTCTAGGTAGTATGTGTGATATATACATATAATTGTCATTGGATCATTGTGTACAATCTCAGCACTTTGTCTTGCTTAGTCGTGCGTACATGGCTTTTATGTTGCAAGCCAGATCTTTTTAACTTGAGAACGCTAACCACTGCCCCACCAATCAGTCTTAAATAACAATAAAACACAGGTTGTACAGTGACGTCAATGTTCATATGCGAAGAATTTGTATCAGCTTTCAATGATCGCCACTTCAGTATAGTATCATGGTCACACCCAAAAAGACGGCAAACTTCATTAGCAAAGGTAGGTAGGTGCTATATTAGCTAGTGATTGTCTTTATCATTGACAAAACTATAAGTTAGAGCTTCTACTTGGGTAGAAAATGCCTCATCAAAATAAAACATCAATAAACACATTGTACAATAATTTATTTAGACATTAACACATCGATCATAATAAATACATTTAAGTTTTATGGCAGTGCTATTGGTAATGCTGGTAACATTTTTTCCATTATTGTTGCCAGCTTAACAAGTATTACAGATTATACAATAGGTACGTGCGTTTTACAACAATCATGATAGGATTTCAAGGACGGGTCGCGTGCCTGATGGATGTCCAGGGCAATACGTAAGCGAAGGAATGTTTTCACAATTAATAAACATTTTGTTTATAGTTCCGTAGGATGTTGCTGCTAATCAGTCTGTCAGTGTATGAGATATGTTTTATCGAAGTGGACCGACAGGCGAGCCAGTCGTCTGTGTGCTTAGTGCGAGTTTTTTAACGTTCTCGATAGCGTAAAAGTTAACTCATATTTGTGTATGGAGTGGGATCGTTTGCCTACGTTTGCCGCTAGGGGCGCTGTTCCAACTGCATACAAAATTGGGCTAACTTTTACGCTATCGAGAACGTTACAAAACTCGCACTAAGCACACTGTTCTTCAAAATAGATCGGATTGTGGCATTCGTGCTTACGTAACGTGAAGGTTTTCATGAGTATCAGTTAGAGTTGGCTTCGCATCCCGTACGTACTATTCGTAAACATCCGTTTATTACTGATGGTAGGACATCTTGCGAGTCTGCGCGGGTAGGTACCACCAACCTGCTTATTTCTGCCCTGAAGCAGTAATGCGTTTCGGTTTGGAGGGTGAGGCAGCCGTTGTAACTATACTTGAGACCTTACAACTTGTATCTCAAGGTAGGTGGCGAATTTACGTTGTAACCACTTAACACCAGGTGGGCTGTGAGCTCGTCCACCCATCGAAACAATAAAAAAATAAAAAACTAGTGACTATTCACATTCATGGGCTCTGGTAATCACTTGAAACAGAACTACCCTCTTATTATAACTGAGTATGACGAAGCGCATCCACGTCCCTGATACGTCCCGAACGCTTGTTAATTCACCTAATTATACAAATATATAAAAACATTCTAAAGTTCATTATTCATTCGTAACTTAGCTTGCACGTCCATGTCGAAACTGTATTCCTCCGACGTACAGTTGAGATCATTATCATTAAAATTACATTCTAATAAATGCTATTAATTTTATTTTATTTACATTTATTTGCATTACACTCGGAGCCTTGTTTGGCCAGTTTTTCAATATTAAAGAGTATTCAGTCGAATAAATATGTACTTGAATACAGACAGATAAAATGTACGCCACTGTACAAAATCTTGGGCGTACATGACATTGACAGATCGGTACAAGTCCGTTCGTTAATTATCAAATAAACGAAAATACGTATGCGCATAGCAATTCACGTCCTCACCACCCTTAAGTTGTGCAAGAGAGATACAGTACGCACTCCTAGCCTAGAAGTGCGTACTGTATCTCTCTAGGAGTCCTAGGACACAATCTACATTCACAATGACTAACAATAAAAATAAATATTAAAAAAAAGTATAAAAATCCTTATTTTATAAAATTAAATTTAATAATGAAATTGGCATCGTTTGAGCATTTTGTTGTTTTAAAGTATTTTGATTTTCTACTACCACATTTCAGCTACATGAGATGGCCAAATAAATCGTGGCACAAGAAGAGAGGTCTTTGGCGGGAACGTTCTAAATTACAATTTGAATATTGATATTACAATGAATTAAAACTATCACAGTCGAAGGTATAATTTAGTGATGGGTGAACAACCTACAATGAAGTTAACAGATTGAGATAAACACAATTAAATCCTTCTCTATATCACTAACTTTTTTGGAAGCTTGCTGGTCGCGTCTCTGCCCCTCCACCCGCATGGATGCTACTCAAAAACCCACAAGGAGCAACTAATAAGTATTCGCGCATTATAAGGTAACATTCTCATCAAAGGTAAGGTCCCTTGGTAATATCTCATTTATGTTCGCAACAAGTTCATCTTATTAAAAAACTAAATTTTGAATTAAGATCGGAATAATTTAACAGCCTCAATCAAACATCTCACACACGAAAAAAAAAATTAGCACTCGATACATGGCTTACAAGTATTCCTATAATAAAAACTTTTATTGCCGATCATTTAAAATCCTCATCAACCTAGTGACATGACCTTGAATAGTGTACTGGGATCGGATGATAAAAAAACATTTTTAAAACTAAAAGAAATGCGCTTTACTAGCAAGCCAAAGGTCTAAATGATCCTATCTTTTTATTATTATTCTAATGATCCGGTCGCCTTTTTAGCCCGAAGTTTTAAAATTATTGTATTGTAACCAGACGTCTTGAAATTGGTGAATAAATTACTTCGAATGTTTTTGTTACTACGTTAGATAGAAGCTAATAAAGACGTGTTAATATAGTATCTGGGTCAGATCAGTATCGACAAAGTATGCTGCCAGTTTTGAAGATTGGCAGCTGCTTCATAACACCTGATACAGATTTCTTATATATATTAGATATCTATAATCCTTGGTTTGTCTACTGAGATGAATTAGGAATTAGAACAGTTTACGATTCATTTATATCTCGACATAACCAAAACACAAAAAAAATAATTTTTGAAATAATCACTTCTATACGGACTACGATTGTGTAGTTATGTATTTTCTCATTCGATCAGTCCCGTAATGGCATTTCATCTATTATAAACCAGAACGAAGGATAAAAAAATTTAAGTAAATCAGTCGCGGGTATCTGTCAATACGCATTGGCGATGTCAAGACATAGGATGGTTACCTAACTTATGTGTGACTTACAAATAGCTACAAAAATCGAAGGTCGGAGTCCTTTGCTCGAAAATCTCATTAATGTGTTAGAGCTTAGAGTAAAGCTCGCCTTTATACAAATACACATATAAATTAATAAATAATTTTTTTTGTACAACATACCGTTTTAGGAATAGAGTGAGGCGTTAAGAATGAAAACACGCAAAATCGTCAGTAACGTAGGCGCATTTTGTTGAACATTGCGTATGTACGCGAGTATTTTTTTGTTTTCTACATCATTTTAAAAGAACATCTTAAATAACAAATAGTTGATTGGAAACGCATTTTGACAAATAAATCAAATTGCTTTGACAACAATTACCATTACCTATATACAGAGCCGTATTACAAACACAATAGCAAAAGTATTATACCAATATCAGTAAATGTAAAAATTTAAGTCACAAATAAACGCGGGAAGCCGTAAATATTAACTAAATCTATATTTTCTTAATCAAAATAAATAAATACACCAAGGAATGTAAAGATTTAGAATAAAAAGATAATTTTACATATTTGATATAATCTTAGAATAAAATTAAATACTTTTACACACAGTCACTGATTTTTTCTTATTAAATTATATTTAAATTTAAAATAGCCATTTAAAATTTTAGTTTGATTTAATAAACTAAGTAATTTCATTGAGGAACTCCGTTATAATACGAAAGATTATATTTTAGCTTTTATGACTAAATTTTGTAAACAAATTAGTTTCGAATACTTCGTTACGGTGATAATTCAACGCGACAAAGTCGAATTTTAACCTTACTCCTTTGTTTTAGATTCCATTTTACTGAATTATAAAAATATAGCACAATTAAAAATAACAATTACCTTAGGTATTATATAAACGATCAACTCAATTCTCGATTCGATTGTGTCAATTTTATATTAATTTCCTTTTCTAGTTTTATGTACTTTCATATTTTAGTATGAATTTTACAAGTTGTCATGGTCTAATGGATACGTCGTTCGGCTTACTCGTATCGAGTGGTGCGACCTTGCCAGTGTTCGAATCCCACAGGCAATCAATAATTGTTCTAAAGAAATACGTACTTGAACACGGTGCGATAAAAATGGGAAATTACAGGTGACACGCGTATCCCCCAGTGAAGGTCATGGGAGAGCTTGAGGAAGTTGAGCTCTCTAGCGCGCTGCCAAGGGGAAATAAAAGAGGAAACCGTTGGCGGTGTATCGCGTCCCGACCCGGCTGGCTGGTTTTGGTCCAGCGGGGTATTTTGGGGCACTAATGGCACCGTCTGGGCGGCCCGGCTGTCGTACCAAGATGGCTGACGTTTCTCAAACCCTTCGATTCACCTCGAAGGCTCTATCGGCTGAAGGCCCTTGGGGTGAGCTGAGCCGTCTGGTTGAAGTGTTGACTACGGTAGCCCGCTTCTAACCTCGGAGGGGATCGGACGCTTGAGCGAAGAGTGCAGGGGAGTCTGATTCTGGCTCTAGCAAGAGCAATGCTTCGCTGAATCCACTACCGGATCGAAATCGCGACCCACTGAGAAGATCCGGCGGGAAACTCAACGGTTTGTGTCTATGAGAAGCGCCTCACAACATCTATGACTAGCACAAACTGTAAAACATATTAGTCTACTAATAACGTTTAGTGACTAGACATTAGTTTGCCGTAAATTGGGAGACTAAAGTCGGAGATCTTAATATCAATATGCAGTTGCATCTCACTTCGCGGTCGTGTGAAGCGTAAATTATTTTACGAAAGACCCTAATAGTTTATTGTAAATTAATTTGCGAATTTATAAGTATTCGATTTCTCGGATTGAAACTGTTCTCGGATGCTACATGTAATTTGTATCAAAATCGATTTTATCAGTCTCGTCAGTCTAGACTATAATATTTAAGACCATATTTCAAGCAGATAATCTTACAACTTTTTCTTTCTGAACATAGCTGAAAGATATTTGCGTTAAATCAGGTCACGTACAATTTGAAAGACTGAAATACTGATTTCAACTTAACGCTTTTGAAATCTATATATAGACAAGTTCAGAGACAACTCTTTCCTAATTTTAACAACACAAAAATTCAATTATAAATAAAAAAAGAAGTAAAGTCATACATAAACATTATTATACGAACCCTAGTCATCGGTAACAAACCAATAGGTATCTTTTAATGAGAACCTGTTTTTTTTACAGTGGACCTTGGTGACAACCCTGCTTTTTAGAGTGCACATACAGGGTGTCGCCTAACTACCGAGCTAATTACACCAATCTATCTAGAACTCTGTCTTATAGAGGAGTCATCGTCCGCAAAACTGGGCCTATTTCTTCTGTCGCACCTCTTCTGATGCTGCCGTATAAACGCGCTCAGTCTGTTCAACAGAAACTGTTTATCGTGGCCTTCTAAGACCAGTTGGTTCTTCAGGACCGCCACCATGTGTCTATTGGCTGTCGCGACGGCCCAGTAATAATACAAGAAGAATAATGTCACAGCGAAAGCCGGCACCGCAAACGTTGCAGTGCTTAACAAGAATATGACCTCTCTAATTACCGACGGAAAGTTGTTGAATGTTTGTATGACGAACTCCCACACGGTGGCGTAGCCTCGATAGGGACCGCAGTTTATAGACGGCAAGATTTCAGCCACCGAATACGCTACCGGCAGAATCGATATGACGAAACCGAGCAATAGAACCGACATGAAGAGTGATTTCGATTTGGACGCCTTATACACGACCGGCGAGGGCGTACAGTTTACGAGGCAAGTGAACTTTTTTATATAGAATATCATGAAATAGAACATGGATCCTATAATGGGTAGAAAGGGACAGAAGAACGAACCCATCCAAATTATGGTCTGCACGTAAACAATGTCCAATACGTGTTTAGGCAAATAGAATTCCTGTTCGCCGAATATCTTCAAGCAGCGGCTCCGCGTGTGGCGAGCCATAAACGCCCTAGGCAAATTTATCAGGAACGTTGTCACGAATTGAACGGCGAAATCGGTCAAGATCAACTTGTAGAACTGCTGACCGACGTATGTCTCCCAGCATTCTAACTTCGTTGTATCCGTGTTATGCTTCGCGCACACGATGCCATTCGTCGATATATACAAATAGATTTGACTTAACAATACGCCTAACGAGGATAGTCTCAGTAACACAGTCCTTAGGAGCGTTATAATGATAACATGTGGCGGCATGTAGCCTTCGTATCTGATCATGTAACTAAAAATCTCGGGTATGATAAGATTCAGTACGACAATGCAAATAAACGGCAAAAACTCCATTAGTACGTTCTCCAATTGATTGAATGACATCGTACTGTACACTATCGGCATCGTCCTGGTTCGATTCTCGTTAGATCCTATGCTTTCGTTGAGTCTCTCCGTCGAGAAGTTGAAGGCTACGTATATTAGAAAACCGGACGCTATGAGTATCACAAACACGATCAGGTTAATAAACAATCTTTTTAGGTGCATCAATATCTGACTCTCCCGGCTGCGCGACTGTTTCTCTTCTTTGAATCTCTCCTCTTCGATGCAGCCCTTGATCTCATTGTACAGAGCTTGGTGTTTGATTCTCGCTGATCTGTCGTTGTGTATGCAAAAATCCCAACCGCCAAAAACGAGGTTGCAGTACTTGTAGAACTGACCCTCGCTTTCGATTAGCTTCTGCTTGAAGCCCCTGGCGGCCGTCTTCACGATTGCGATCAGGGACAATAAGGTCCAAGAAATCGGCACCAAAATGTAAGCCATCGGCATATTGTAGAACAGTTTGGTATGGTATAAACTATTTACGTAGTAAGTGTATATCTGATCTGTGTAAACTCCGTAGAAGAGTATGGTTCTCTCCATCCAGCCAGTGCCCTGGATAACGTCTAAAAAAATATTTGAATTCGTCGTGTTCTTCTCGAAATATGCTATAGAACAGCAAACTGTTGAATTCGCTTCCGTCTCGTCGCATTCGTAAACCCTCTCATTCAACAATGTCTTTGGTAGGATCAGGAACACGATGACCAGTATCGATATTGTGAGGTTTAACAGGAAGAGCCACCTCAGGAACAGGAAATACGAGACGACTCCCGTTCCGAATTTTCCTTCTATTTCACGCATGGGGGTCTGCCAGAGCTCCAGCTTGCTAAACGTCTCAGTGCAGCCTATACGGAAACGGTGCCACACCTTCCTCTGCCTCCAGTGGAGTTGCTCGAAACCTTGGAGGCGAAGTTTCGTAGCGTTCTGCGAGCGACACAATAAAGCTACTGAAGTAACCACCAGCAATCGAGACCCCGACACGCACTTTTCATTCAAAAATGGCCTTTAGCTTTACTATATACCCTGCATTTCCAATCGGTTATCCGTTGGAATGTATGGACCCATATCGAGGGACGATAGGCTATTTAAATTTGCCCTTATATTTAGTATTAGCATCAACAGTTCGATGTTTTTAATTGAATTTCAATTATGTTTACTACATTCAAATGACTGAAGAAGTTTTTTTTGTCATGACCGTTGTTTCTAAATTTTAAACGTTATTTAGCTTCTTCTGTAAAGTTGCAAAAATTTCGCTTAAACCAATAGCCTTTCTTTCACCCGTCGATATGAAAAATTTTACTCAATAAAATTCCATTGCATCAAACAGCTACAGTTTTGGGTATCCAAAATCTTTTCATTTATTTTAATAAAAGAATAGTGATTTGTATTAAAAGATCTATTTTGCTAAAACGGATCCTGCTTACAAAAGTCGAACTAAGGCAGTTTCAAAAGCCTAAACGAATAGAAATTCTGAGAAATGTTAAAACTCCCCGTTTATATAGATTGATATGAAAAGATTTTGGATGTTAACGACAATGTCAAATAAAAAGATTAGTTGTTATTTAAATCTTTCTAATTGCCCAAATAGCTCTTCTACTTTTGTAACTAGTTTTTTTTATTATTAAGCTTTACTAGACTAGTTGCAAGTCGAATTTAATTATCGAAGTGACTAAAACGAAATTGACCCATTGTTATTATTTATTGTGTAGCTACTGGTGATAGGGGGTCCTGCGAAACCACGCGGCTCATCATNTAAAAAGATTAGTTGTTATTTAAATCTTTCTAATTGCCCAAATAGCTCTTCTACTTTTGTAACTAGTTTTTTTTATTATTAAGCTTTACTAGACTAGTTGCAAGTCGAATTTAATTATCGAAGTGACTAAAACGAAATTGACCCATTGTTATTATTTATTGTGTAGCTACTGGTGATAGGGGGTCCTGCGAAACCACGCGGCTCATCATGTCCATACGTTTCTTCTTGAGGAGTTTCACAACCATTACCCAATACAATTGACACTCTGACCTCACGTCTCAAGGCGGGTGACGGAATTTCCGTGGCGATGTCTATGGCTCCATTACCCATTTCACCAGTTGAACCGCCTGCTAGTTCTCACATCATCAGCGAAAGGATACATGCATCTAAACCAATGACTCATCTACATGCATCTAAGCCAATGACTTTACTGGTGGTAGGACCTTTTGTGAGTCCGCACGGGTAGGTACCACCGCCCTGCCTATTTCTGCCGTGAAGCAGTAATGCGTTTCGGTTTGAAGGGTAGGGCAGCCGTTGTGACTACACTGAGACCTTAGAACTTATATCTCAAGGTGGGTGGCGCATTTACGTTGTAAATGTCTATGGGCTCCAGTAACCACTTAACACCAGGTGGGCTGTGAACTCGTCCACCCATCTAAGCAATAAAAAAAAATGACACTTATTTACCTGCAATCGAGCTTTAAGCTCGATCTTCTGACTCATCGGGACAGGTAGCGCTTTTATCTGCATTATCTCCTCCCACGAGCGTTCTTCGTTTGATAAATTTTCTGTAAATATATTTTAATTTTGTTTCGTCGATTCTTAAGACATTTTACGTTTTCTTTTTTTTCTAATTATGCGTTTGGATTTCAAAATTTAATAAACGAACGAAGTCAGGTATAGAAGTATTACTCTCGCAGACTTAAATCCTGTAGATGTATATGTCTGTCTCTTTTTAGTGTCACCTTTTCGTTTCATCGATGCTGAAATCACAACGTTGCCAAAGAAGTCTTCACTTCAAGGCACGATGACAATGAATCAAATGAAATGAGACCTACCTACCCTCCCAAATTAGCCCTCAACCTAAAATGGTGTTAAAATGGGTTAACTGATTTCTCGAAACATACCTGATAGGTCTGGCAACATCGAGAGATGTATGTCCCGGCTCTGCATGGTTCTAGCGAAGGTAGATTGGCGCCGATCAGTCTGGGATCTGGCGCGTTTGACCGTCGTCGCTGAAAAGCAATGCACGCCATTACGCATCAAACGCGAAAAAAAATCTGATTTTTATTTTTATTGCCTTTGTTGGCAGACGAGCATAAGACCCAACTGATGGTAAGTGGTCACCGTCGCTCATAGAAGTCAGCAATGCCAGGGGCAGAGCCAAGCCGCTGCCTACCATTAAGTACTCTCCGCAAGCCTCGTTTGAAGAAGGACATGTCATAGCGCTCGGAAAACACCGTGGAGGGTAGTTCATTCCAAAGCCGGATAGTACGTGGCAAAAAAAAAATCTTTGGTAACGTACTGTCGATGAATGCAGCAAATAACATTACCATTATTCGAAGCTATTCAGACTTATTGGAAATTCTAGAGTGATCCTAGATACACACCACCGAGAACAGAGAAAGATGACGAAGGATCATCCAGAGAAGCATAATGGGAGGAGATGGTCACGACCCTCATACGCGAGGAATGTGATTCAGGGAGGAGGAGAGTGGTCTGGAAGTAGTGTCATAAACCGAGAAGTTTCATCATCGCATCATCATGCGTGTTGGGGATGTGAGGTGGATTTAAATACCAAAATCGTTTATCGACGAGGAAGAGATGCGCCTTATTCTATATGAAAGTACCCTCCCCAAATGCTTGGCTTGGTGCCGTCTTTTCAGTCCTACTGCGGCTCCAATCGCAGCAAAATATCATTGACCAGAATTTGGTTAAGATCTACCAACCTATGGTCACATCCTAATCTTAGTTTTAGTAAATATACCATTGAAATTTAATGGATACCGTGGTTCGTGGACATTGATAAGCCGCTGAGGATTGGTTTCAAATCTAAAGCGTAAATTATGTTTACTACTCGCGAAAACTTTAGCAAATACTATGGTTTGCTATATTGATGTCCCTGGAATTATTCTGGAAATCCATCTTCTCTTCGAGGGGAGGGAAGAGCAATGTCCTTATGCAATACGGTCTTTGAATTGAAATGGACCACAATCTATTAATATCCCTGATGTCTTTTCCCTGGGTCTGCCTTCTTCAAGTCCGATATCAATTCTACGTATACAGCTGATTGCTTCGCGCCACAAATTTAAGTGGTGTTTCTTGTGCCCACATCGGTATTATGATGTGTCAAATGATTTGATTGATATGACCATCTCGATTATTTCATAGATTAGTTAAATGTCGTAGCGTTTGGACAAAACCTTGAACTATTTATCCAAAAAGCTTGTCTAAATCGACTTAAGATTGTGTGAAGCCTTTGGAATTTAATAAAAAAATCAAATGTTTTGGTTGAGGCAGAAAACAATTTTTTTTTATTGCTTAGATTGGTGGACCAGGTCACAGCCAACCTGGTGTTAAGTAGTCACTGGAGCCCATAGACATCCACATTGTAAATGCGCCACTCACCTTGAGATACACGTTCTAAGGTCTCAAGTATAGTTACAACGGCTGCCCCACCCTTCAAACCGAAACGCATTACTGCTTCACGGCAGAAATAGGCAGGGTGGTGGTACCCACCCGCGCGGACTCACAAGAGGTCCTACCACCAGTAATACAATAAAAAATTCTTATTTTAAAGACTTACTGTTCCTAGCCTGTTTTGATGGTAGTAGCGTCGCCAGTTTCGCTGCATCAGCTCTCTGGAGGTTATCAAACAGCTCCTGTTCCCCCCCGGGGTAGAGTTCCTGGTAGAACTCCCCGCCGGCTTCCTCCCAACCTTCATGGCGTTTGGATTTCGCCTTGTTCTTAGAGTTACCCCCTGACATTGTGTCAGTTCATTTTATCTGAAAAAATATATGAGAGGAAAGTAGTTAAGCGCAGTTTTTTTACCTTACACTATGCAACTAGATGGAAGTTATCGTGGCCTAAAGGATAAGACGCCCGGTGTATTCGTATCAAGCGTTGCAACGATGTTCGAATCCCGCAAGCAGATACAAATTTTTGTAATGAAATACGTACTTGACTAATAGAATAGAACCGTGTAATAAAAATCAAACCCGGAAAATGATAATTTGCCTAATTATTGGTAACAATAATGTGGTAGCAGTTAAATGGTAGGTTAAGGTGGGTGGCGGTATTTACGTTGTAGAGGTCTATAGGCACCGGTAACCATTTAATACCAGGTCGGCCGTGAGCTAGTCCACCCATCTAAGCAAAAAAAAGCACAAAAAGGTTAAAATAATATAGGTAGGGGCGCTGTTCCACTTGCATAGAAATTTGAAAAACTCGCACGAAGCACACATATTTCACTAGTCATCATTATAGAGTAGGAAAACTTTTTCTGAACCCTTATACCGTATTTAAGATTTCTTCATAAGAAAATTAAGAACAAAAAAAACTTATAAACGACTATAAATAGAAAGGCTCTGTTAACATTATTACAAAATATTTTAATGTTATTTAGTTCGGTATCTAGTATTAAATCGTTGATGTATTATCAGAATAGACTTTAGGTATTTTTTATTAGGAGTTTAATAGATAATTGAAAACTGGAAGCGATATCATCCGACGGGATACATATACATAGCGTTATTAATTGTTTATTTTATTTTTACTTTACATACATCGAAGGCAAACAAAGCAGCAAGCCACTCTTGCGGTTTTTTCATGCCTAGCAAAAATATACCTTATCGAAAACTATGAAGATGTTATTACCTTCAAAGCCAATATTAGTTGGGTCTTTTTCACTGTAAATAAGCTTTGTCTTTTTTTTTTTTTTAATTTTCACTAGTTATCTAAATATGTTATAGAAGGAAAACACTTCGTCACACACAGAATCAGTACGTAGTTTAGAAGCGCGTTTCCCATGAGCCATCGATACGAATTGAAAGCTTATTTTGAAAAAGTCTTATCATATTGTTATCAAATTCATTGAACCATTCGACAATAATCATATTGGTACACGAATATTGTCTATTTGTTTTTTATTGTTATCTCTGTTATTTGTTATATTGTTACCTCTTCACTCCCCCCGAAATCTACGGTCAATATGTCCATTTTTGTTATGATTGAAAGATTACTGTTGGCCCGGAGGCCTTTCCAGTTTCACCAGGACAGGTGGGCGAGCAAAGGCTCAGCCAGGAGGGGTGGGATTTGCTAACAGCTGCCCGAGCGCCTCCGAAGGGGACCTAACAACTTAAGCGTAGCTGCTTCGCGAATGAATCTACTACCGGATCGAAATCGCGACCCGCTGAGAAGACCCGGCGAGAAACTCAGCGAGCTGATGCATGGGTTAGGTTTGCACGTCGACCTCTTTGTCGAATTCGACGAGTACGGTTACCGGTATCCCTAAGCCTGCTCCTAATGTTAGAGCTGAAGGCGTCTAATGCAAAGGTTATTGGTTCTGATGGATCCGTAAGGACGTGTTGTCAATGTTGTGATCAACCGACGTGACGAATAGTAGCCGTTTTTCTATTGCCTTTGTGCGGGTTTGACGTTAACTGATCACCGTCGCGCGTGGACATCGGCAATGCCAGGGGCACAGCCATCCTTCCGCTTAAAAAACGAGGTTGCGTTTCTTGTCTTTCGGCTCGGTATCCCAAAGAAAACTTAGTTATGTTCTCGACCTGACTTGCGGAAGACATCGGTTGCATTAGTCTAGACGAAAGTGACGATTTTAAAACTGTTCACAAACTCATACAACGTACCACAATTATCTCACTACACAATTTTGCGTACATTCCCTTCTTTTTTTTTCTACCTTGCTGGTACCCTAGATAGGCTATTCCAGCGTAACCGTAACTAGTAGGTGAGCTCACGAGGCTCAAACCTGACTACGATGCTAGCACGAACCCTAGCAAGAGTCGTGCTTCGCAGAATCTACCACCGGATCGGAAACGCGACCCACTGAGAAGATCCGGCGAGAAACTCAGTGGGCTGTGTCTGAGAGTTAATTTACTCGTCGAGCCTTTCGACGCAAGCGACGGGTTCGACGAGAACGGTGACCGGTGCTTGAAGTACCTAGAAGCACCGTTAGTGGATCGGGAGGATCCGAGATGACGTGTTTTGGGCGACGTCGACTGCTTTCCATTCTGTCCGCAGGATCGGGAATGTAGTTACCGGCGGCCACGATGAGAGGGTTCTCGTGTCGTGCCGCTTTATCGAAGTGTATCATACATTCCCACAATCAAGACTGAATTTAGTAATTTTAAAATTATTTTTTATAATTATGATTGGAAGTATATTTTTTATCTAAACATCCAAAATCCAATTCTAGTGAAACGGTCATCGATTAGATTACAATTCAATTGTTATTACAACTATAAAAGGGCTTCTTCAGTTCCAAAAGGTCACAAGACAGAATTCACAATATATTACGGTAGTTTCACCGTTTTTATTTTGAACCTTTTGTGTACATTTCCTGCTATCAGGATCTATTTAAATGTTCTCTTTTGTCTGTTTCTCTTTGGTAACTCTGGCACTAAACATACCAACCATAACGGGTCAAATGACCTATTTTGAACTTTTGCATTGAAAATGCACGTATCATCTTATTGCTTTTGCACATTTGACCTCACGACTTTTTCTTACCAATTAATCTACAGTTATTTTACTATCTTTTTGTTTTGTTTTGTTTATTTGGAGTAATACTTGTCGTATACCGTTACCTACCCGCTATGGTAGAAATAGGTACCAGTAAGTGTTGGTATGATTAGTGCTAGGTTATATTGAACTTGAAAGGCTGTAATGTTTTTCAATTTCGCTAAGACTTTTTAACTAATCCATTAGCTTGTGATAGGGAATCCCCGTCAGAGTTCTGTGTGATTAATTAAAGACGCAAAGGAAGCTACAGTCTCGCCGGATCTTGTGCGTGGATCGCGGTTCCAATCCGGTGGTAAATTCTGCGAAGCCTGCTCTTGCTAAGGCCAGAAAATTCTCAGGTTCAGCCCGTGAGCTCACCTACCGGTTCGGGCGTAGCTGAAATAATTCTCTAGGCTACCAGCGAATAGATAGGAAAAAACACCAAAATAGAATTTTAAAAACAAGGACCGGTAACGAATGATTCATTACTTACATCAAATACTTACAAGAGGATAGCTGATAATTTTAATATAATAATATCATGCCTTTTCGCAGAAACATGCTTTGATTAAACTTTAATTATTGTAGATTATGATATTATTTGTTGTAATACGTCTTGCCTATAGCTGACGCGAAGGAGCTGTCAGATTATTTTGAAAAATCTGCAAACGTATCGAGGACCAATTCAGTACAATTATTTTATTTTATTAACAACTTGACCCAATATACACGTATATACAGCCATGAGCAAAAGTATTAGACAACCCCATTGAACTGCCAGTTTTAGGATAATTTACCGAGTTATCAATTCGACCATAATTTTTATCGATGTATGTTCACCGATTTCTTGAGAATGCTTGAACCGATTCGGATAATTCTTTTTTTTTTTTGTTCGAAAGGGTAGCCTTCCCGAATGGTCCTGTTTACATCAAGACCTGATGATGGGATCTTGGAGAAATCGACTCCTTTATGTCATTTGAGATACCAAGCCTCGACGCTGGCACTCAAATTTCAGGTCTTGAAACCCGTCTTAGCGTGATGTTATATAGCCGATAGCCTTCCTCGAAAAATGGGCTATCTAACACTGAAATAATTTTTCAAATTGGACCAGTAGTTCCTGACATTAGCGCGTTCAAACAAACAAACTCTTCAGCTTTATAATATTAAAAAAAATATAATAATAGTATAGATTTGTATATACCCTAGCTGGTACCCGCCACGCCCGCTTCGTCAAGGAAAAGCGTCGGCGTAGTTTTTTCGTGATAACAAGTATATTATATATATATATTATATTTTTTTTATACATTTATTAACAACCACGCCACGTTAACTGGTCCCGTGATAAGTTCGTAAAGAACTTGTGTTACAGGTACCAGATAACGGATATAAATGTAAGTTTTTTATTATACACATACATATATTTAATATACATCCATAATCCTGGAAAAGACATTTATATTTATCATACAAAAATCTTCCCTTGGCGGGATTCGAACCCGCGACCCCCTTGTGTAGTGACCATGTCACACCAGACGGCCGTATCCCATGTCACTCTCCCTAAAGCCTTGTTCGGAGTATTTTGCGAGTATTTTAGTCGAGTACCGAGTAATTTAGTGGCTAAACTACTCGCTACTGCACAGAAATCGTTCGCATTACGGTCCAGTAGAGTACACAAGTGCGCGGTGTTCTGCAAGATGAACAGGCTGCAACGCAATAGTGAATAAACTGATTAAGCTAATCGTAATGGCTATTTTAGTAGAGGTGGATGAGGAAATTTCTGTGACTAAGAGAAATAAGTTATGGGTACGAAAATGGATCGATAGAAGAGATAAACTAGGAGCTACTAAATGTCTTCTGAAGGAATTAGCATTGGAAGAGATCCCAAAGAATACTTCGATAGTTTGAGAATGTCCGAAAGTTGTGTGAATTTTCTTTTAATGAAAATACACTCTCAAATTCAGCGCAAAGATACCCATTTGACAAGTGCCACTAATGAACTCAACTAATCAACAGGTTCGGACTTGTTTAGTCAGTGAGCCAGTAAGCAAGGACGCGTGGTGGGAGGCGCTACTTGAGTGAACAAAATAGAACAAAAAGGATTGACTTGACTAAATTTTTTCCTAACCTACTCGACTAAATTTTTGGTGTTCAGACACATTTAGCTACTAAATTACTGGGTACTCGACTAAAATACTCGCCTAGTCCGAACAAGGCTTAACTGTCACTTAAGCGATAATAACAATACACTACCACCATGAAATGGTAGTGGCTGAGTTTGCTCGTATAATGAGTCTGAGATCATTACCACCCATGGAAGGAAATAGGTTAAGTCTGTTCTAAGCCATCGCTTAGCGTTAAATTCTAAATTTTCTCTAATAAACTTTCCCTTAATGATTTCTGATAAAAATTAATGAGTATAGTATTGACGGATAAGATAAAATTATATTGTTTATATATTTTTATCAAAATTAAATTGAGGATTATTAAAATTCACGTTAAAGGTTCATTACCTTACAGTTTTGATAATAATTGATATCATTGATTCAGATTGACTTATACATCGGCTGTTCTGAATTTCTGATAATTAAGTCTCGATTTTTAATGTTGGACAATTTATCTTGATAAATGCATAAAAGACAATGGACTTAATGGACATCAAGAGAAAGTGACGAGATGATAGATGCCCTCGAAATGTGGTGCTGGAGAAGAATGCTGCAAATATCATGGACGGAGCTCAGAGCGAATCAGTCAATTCTACAGGAACTCGGCATCAAGCATCATCTATCCTCCATGGTTGAGGGTCGCATTCTCAGTTTCTTCGGACACGTTTCGCGACGAGGTGATGACTCAGATGAGCGCCTTGTGGTGCAGGACCTGATAGAGGGTACAAGACCGCGCGGCAGATCACCGTTACGATGGACCGACTAAATAAAGATAGCTCTAAACGATCCCGTCAACGAGTGCACAAGGGTGCGGTACACTAACGGTGCTTTTAGGTACCTCAAGCACCGGTCATCGTTCTCGTCGAACCCGTAGCGTGCGACGAAGGGCTCGACGAGTAAATTAACCCTTAGACACAGCCCACTGAGTTTCTCGCCGGATCTTCTCAGTGGGTCGCGTTTCCGATCCGGTGGTAGATTCTGCGAAGCACGGCTCTTGCTAGGGTTCGTGTTAGCAACGTCGTCAGCTTTTGAGCCCCGTGAGCTCACCTACTAGTTAAGGTTACGCTGAAATAGCCTCTCAAGGCTCTCAGCTTAGGTAGGAAAAAAAAAGCGAACCAGCACCCGAAATGATGACCATGACCACTCTGCCAAGAGTGCATACTACTGAGAAGAATACACAAAAGTACACACAGTCATGAGACAAAATTATCATTCCCTGTTCTTAAGGTTTGGCATGTTACAACTGGATTATATGTATCAGGTTCACAAAGAACTAAGAGCAGCTGCAAATACATAATGTCAACGACTATCCAATATCGGTCAAAATAATTTATATCCAAATCTACCACAACTTTTATATGTGTTGACACTAGGATAATGAGGAAGTCAATCTTTTAGACTAAAAAAACAATATCCCAAAATACAATCTTAATCTAACCATGTCAAGCAGTTCTGTAGTTTAATTATGAATGTTTTTGTTGAATTCAGAATTTTTTACATATTCTTAAGTAACATAAGTCTTTTTATTTTTAAGTAAAATATTTTAATCGTTTTCACCACTGGAATTTTAAGTGAATGCAGAAATAGTACATTTATGAGGTTTTTCATTACGAGTTACATTTTAATTTTTTTTATTCTCCGAGCTGGGCAGAATCCAACAACTTTTATTTTGACGTGGTAACAGAGCCCATTGGTTTGATGGTCTAGATCTTGATGGTCAAGATCTAGAGACACACTGTCTCACCCATCACACCCATAAGAATTTTTAGGAACATATATAAGAGTTATCCAGCATTGTGAAATGTACTCATGGTGATTACTAACTTATCGTAACCCTAGTAATTATGTAAATTTATCTATTTTGCAACTTCCTATTATTAGACAAAATTATTTGTGGAATTGTAAACATAATAATATGCTAGATATATTATATAAAGTGTGCGGTGGAAAATTTGTCATGAAACAATTTTTGTTGTGTCTTAGATTTGTGGAGAAGCTCTGCACTGCCCACCTGGTGTTGAGTAATTACTGGAGCCCATATTATTATAGACATCTACAACCTATATGCTGCCACCCAACTTGAGACTAGAGTTCTAAAGTCTCCGTTTTAACAGTACAATGGCTGCTGCACCTTTCAAACTGTCACGCATCACTGCTTCACTGCAGAAATAAACAGGGTGGTGATTCCTACCTCACCAGACATCCTACGACCAGTAATTTTGCAAAATGTAAAGATGCACATCAAACACTTATTTGGAATGTGTTATTGATTAACCTTAAACACCGTAACAAATTTCTTTAAATTGACATATTTTATTATATGTATGTACCTAACATATTTATTTTAAGCATCTAATGGGGGTTCCATTAATCTAATAAAAAGATCACTTGAAGACACCAGTGAAACCCATGGCACAATAATGTAAACTAGATGAGGTCATGAGAGATCCGTGTGGTGTATAAAGTGTTAAACATTTAATAAAGCCACAGGCAAAGCGTGTTGTAGTGTGACTCAGCTTATATACAAGCTCAAAACTTAATTCATGCACATAAGCTAATGTTGTTTGTTAATACTTGAGTCGTCTATTATCAAAGGTGGCAATCTGTGCATTTGGACAAAAAAATGCTATTGATATGTCAATACAGATTGATTTGAATATAATCGTCTCCTTCAAAGAATACGGTTCAAAACCTGCATTAAATAAAGGTTTATAGTTCACTTGTTATTTATCTAAGATGTCGTTCTGAAGACTTTTGTGACTGCCAATGGAATACAAAGTCAATAATTCGTTTTTCTGATTTACCAATATTGTTCAAAAGTCAGATTGCCGGCTTTGATAATAGACGACTCACTTAATAAAAAACTGATTAATAAAATAGGTATTCCTTTAGATGTTGGAAAAACAAATGATTTTTTTTTATTGCTTAGATGGGTGGATGAGCTCACAGGCCACCTAGTGTTAAGTGGTTAGTGGAGCCCATAGACATCTACCTCACTCATAAAACTGAAACGAATTACTGCTTCAAAGCTGAAATAGGCAGGGTGGTGGTACTTACCCGTGGGGACTCACAAGAGGTCCTAATACCAGTAATAAATTGCATTAAATTCGGTAAAACAAAAAATAAGAGAACTTAAACCAAGAAAGCAATGGATTGAAGGTCTACTAACTACAGTTGAACTAATATTTGTGTGAATCATAGTTTTTTTTTTTTTTTTGTAAGTATGACTCAATTTTCACAAAGAAAAAACATCAACTTACATTATGATCAACCTAATTAAATTGCATTTTCGTGTGACCCGCCAAAGTAGACCTTCACAGTTCCGGCTTTTGCTTCGTTTTTGAGATTTTTGAAAAGTATTAATTAGGATTTATATCGCTAGTATATGCCTACTTCCGCTTTAAAAAATTTTTTTTTATTAATTCATAATTTACCGTATCGTTAAAAATACAATGGATTACAATTTCATTTTATTTAGAGTTTTCAGTTTTAGGTCGAATTTACTGTCTGATTCCGGCAAATGGAATTCGACAATGTAATGAGAAAAAACATACTAAATCGGTCCATTTATAGATAGAGCACAAAGCGGTGATTTGTGATTTTTTGTTTAATTAAGGGCACACAGTTACTTTTCGTAATCAACACTCACCGTGTAACATAAACACCAATTATTATTCATCTCTTCATTTTACACAGCACCCTGATCTTCTTACACTTTATAATTGAATTAATACATTATCTATTTCATTGACATCATCTGTAAACGAAGGCTTCAATTATTATTTAACTAAATTACAGGAAAAATTTCTGAGATCAAAATAAACCAAAATTACAGTTGATCTATGGTACTTAGCAAAGTACTTTGTTGTGTGTGTTTCACAAGAGTGAGAACGGTGCTCGAACAGTAGAGATGCCCGACAAACCGAGAAAAATAACGAACAATCGAGCGATTGGAAATTTATGTTTTGAAATGTTGGTATATCGATTTAGAATCCCAAAAATAAAAATGATTAAAAGTCGATATTATTGTCAACCAATACACGATATGTTGTACTTTATGTTAGATATAAAACAAAAATTATTTTTTGGCATATGATTTAAAGGTATTAATTAATTAAAAGTAAAGTATGTTGGTTTGCTTTTATTTAGTAATGTGAGACGGTTTTACAATATAAGGCTAAATACACCATATTTTTTGAGTAATGTTGTTTTTTAGAGTTTTATTGAAGTGATATAATTATTGAAAATACCTAAATCGACACGAGTATATTATGCAAAAATTATAGAAACAAAATGCATTGATACTATTTGGTATTTTGGAAATTTTAAATTTGTACTTTAACCATTTTCCTTTTTATTACTTCTATTAACTAATCTAAACTATATTATTCCATTATTTAACCTTTCCATTCACACTACCTAATCATATAATATCAATCTATAATATATTATTATACAATTGTATGAAGGGAACCCAGGTGAAAAGTTACATTTCAAAATAAAATTTATAGGTTTTTTAGTGCAATTTGCTGCCTGGTAAAATTTGTGTCAATATTATGCTGATAATTTGTAAACCCTGAACAGATATTTCAAGTTGTAATACAAATTACCCACTTTTTTTTCTTACCTAATTACCAGAAGCCTTGAAGGGCTATTCTGGTTTCACTTAACTGATAGGCAAGCTCATGGGACTCAGTCTGAATAGACATATTGTAATTTATGCACATTGTCTGGAATCTACGTTGAATGCAATGAATATATGTGAAGCACATAAGAGAAATGTTCAAAACACAAGAGTAGGTAAGGTTATACTTACTTTGTTACCTCAACACGAAGATACCTAATCTGACGTATAGCGATGTAGCCCTTTACCAGTTTTATTAGAAAGTTATTTTTCTTTAGTTTTAATTTTGGTAACAACCAATCTTCTTTTTTTCGCTCAAATTTCGCCCGACCACGTCCGAGACGGGACTCTGCCTGGAGAGGTAGGAGGAGTTATTTCGGTTAATAATACTAACCTATCGCCTAATCACATACAAAGGCAACATGTGAAAAGATTTTAACCGAAATAGCCAATAGTTATTTATATACTTTACTTTAAGATATAACAATTTTCGAAGTTTGATTTAAATTAAATTAAATGAAATTGAATTTCGTTTCAGTTCAAATAATCGATTTGACTCAGAAAACCGAGCATCCCTATGTCTGACTAGTTAGTGCAGGACACATTACACAAATTAGCTGTCAAAAAAGAAAGAAAATTTTGATTTCTTATGTTTTCTTTGATAGATAGCTTTACGTTATTGTTCTCTTCTAAATTAGATTATGTTTATTAATGCTATTGAGATGGATGAATTCGTAGAGCTATGAACATTTTAATTATTTAATACTCTATATTAATTAAATATTATGCTAGCAATGTTTCTGAACGCATCCAAACAATTTTTTTCAGTTTCACATAATATTTAACTCCACTCACCTTTCTAGTTTCTAATTAAAACCTTATGAATGTAGCTACAGACACGGTCTTATTCATGTTTCACAGTATTACATTCACAATAAACAACAGTAAAAACTTATTCATGACAGAAATACGGAATAAAACCTCGACTCTTTGAAAAAACTCTCAATTTATATTCAAATCGAAACGTNATTTTTTTCATTTCACATAATATTTAACTCCACTCACCTTTCTAGTTTCTAATTAAAACCTTATGAATGTAGCTACAGACACGGTCTTATTCATGTTTCACAGTATTACATTCACAATAAACAACAGTAAAAACTTATTCATGACAGAAATACGGAATAAAACCTCGACTCTTTGAAAAAACTCTCAATTTATATTCAAATCGAAACGTAATTATTCTTGAAAGCGAATAGTCATTGAGCGAATAAAAACACCGCAGCGAAATCCGGCAAACGGAAAAAAACACAAGACCGCCCGCAGTTCACATAAACAATTTTCTGAGGAAATTTTCTTCACTTCATATCCGGTGTCGATTTCATTGGTGATACTTCCCGGCAATTTGCAATCGACCAATAACGGATCTGCCCTTCTCGGAACAGCCAATAGAAACGCGTTGACGTTAGCATTGATACAGGTACGGCCAATGTAATATCCGGCGCGCTACGAGACGGTATCATGCGCGAAAAGCCCGGGAACTCGGACCGGGGCGCGGGACGACACCTGCGCAGCATCCGAACAGACGTCGCTACAAGATCACATCTCAACGAAAGTAATGATTATTTTCGGTCCGCGGGCGGCTTAGTTCCGCATACGTCCGCCGCGGCGCTGGCCACGACGAGTTCAGCCCAAAATACTCACCTCGCTATGTCCAACTCAAAAACTCATTATAACATACGAAAAAAAGTGTAATATATAGAATTAATTATATTAAATCGAACATCAAATCGTGCTCAACGTTTTAATCTACGAACAGTGTTAATGGACGTGTTTAAGTGTGAGCTGTGATCTATTTCCGATAAGTTGATTCGTCCATGACTGCGCTTTTCCAGGGATAAACGGGTGGGCGCTCTTTAGGAAAGCGCGGCCGTTTTGTTAACAGTTGGCCGCGTCTGCCGCAAAATGTTTACGGATTTACACAACGAATTTGACGGGTGGTCGCTAAAAGGACTACTCTGGACAAAACGCAGAGACAGCTACGCGATAATTTCTAATCGTGCGACGTAAAGCCAGAACTGATGAAGTTCGTTTGTAGGTTCGTTAACTGGGAAAATGCACGCCTCACCAGCCCCCAACGCCGCGAGGGGTGCGAAAACATTTTAAAACGCAATCAACACTAATGGCGACACGTAAACTAATAATATTTCTTGCGATCGTCGCGTTGGCTGCCGGCGAACATGAGAACGAAACAGAAAACAAAGCAGAGGAAGCCATGGAGGCGGAAAAGGACCAAAAACTGAGGTCCGCGTCGCCGGCCAGATCACAGGGCTCATTCCACAAGCTGACCGCCCTGATGAATAANAAACATTTTAAAACGCAATCAACACTAATGGCGACACGTAAACTAATAATATTTCTTGCGATCGTCGCGTTGGCTGCCGGCGAACATGAGAACGAAACAGAAAACAAAGCAGAGGAAGCCATGGAGGCGGAAAAGGACCAAAAACTGAGGTCCGCGTCGCCGGCCAGATCACAGGGCTCATTCCACAAGCTGACCGCCCTGATGAATAATACGGAGGAAAGACGCCAGTCGCGTCGGAAGAACAAGGATAATCTCAACAAGATCCTGCAGATGAACAGACGACACGATGACATGCTGAATGACAACGAAGGTATACCTATTAACCAGAGGACCGCACCTGACAACGACACAACACTCACGGACAAGATCAAGATCCTGCGTCCGCTCGTGCCGATGTATGAGCCGGAAAGCAAATACAATCACGTCTCGCAAGCTAGCGGGGTTTTTTGTAATTTCGAAACATCAAACGCGTCCATGGACTTATGTACGTGGCAGTGGAACTCCACGGTTTCGAGACACGGTCTGGGATTCAGTGTGATCACTCCGGACGATCTGGTGAACGTTAATAGTACAACTAAGGGTATGAGGTTCTCCGGGCCTTCGGAAGACGCTGATCGGAACCCCAAAGGTATGTGAGAACTTCATAGGTTGCGAATTTCTGGATCGTGTTAGTTGTTTTTGTTTAAACCGCTTAAACACAGTTCTTAATAAAAGTAACAGGAATATGGATTTGATTGCTCTTTTTGGGCATTTAATCTCATACTTTTGTGGAATGATGTCTTTGCCGAATATAACTTTTTAATGCCATATTAGGGACATACCGAAAATGTCATTATGTATTTTCCCGCGAATATTGTCGTTTTATTGTAAAATTTAATTTGTAGTAATCATTGGATTATTATTGATTAAAGAACCTAAATATTTTAGAACTATTTTAACGTTTACGCGGGAATTTGTTGATTTACTAAGAAACATACGAGAGGCGTAGTCATTTCAACCTTTAATAATAATGATTGTATACATATATAATACCACCTTAAGAAACTTTCGTTATCCAGCTGGGTTAGGGGCCTGATACAGAAGACAGTTATCCTTGATACTGCGCGTATCGTGAGGAGGTTCCTCACTCTGGAGTCCTAACTACTGGTGGCTTGTGTTGTAGACACCGCCATCAACGGCCATCTATTTTTATATGGTGGCTTTTAAAAAATGTATTTTAATACCTTTTCTGAAAAATATGATGTAATTAAATAAGATTTTAAATAAATATAAAACATATTGCGCGTACAAGCGCGTATTGACCGTTGTCTACTAACGACTTCCACGATTAAGGATTAACATTGGGCACCTTCATTGGGTATCTTCAGTCCTTTCATACCCACTGCTGGGCTATGTCCAACTTTTTTAGCCTACCCTTTTTTATGCCATAATGTTCAGTCACCATTCCCATTCACGTCTACCTCCTTATCTTGACTATGTCATCGGTCCACCGTGTCATAGGTCTTCCGGTACCTCTACGATCTTAGCCAGTATCCTTCACTATCATACTCCATCTATTAACATTGGGTACTTAATAATGATAAAATCCGCACAATTTGATGGCGTGATCATCATTCAGCCTATCTCTTAAAATGTCATTAGGATGTGTCTCGTAACTAATAATAACAGAACGGCTGTGATATCAATTATTGCTTAGTTGGTTGGACGAGGTCACGGCCCACCCGGTGTTAAGTGGTTACTGAAGCAAATATACATCTGCAACGTAAATGCGGCACTCATCTTGAGATATAAGTTCTAAGGTCTCAGTATAATTTTCACGGCAGAAACAGGCAGGGTGGTAGTGGTACCTACCCGTGCGGACTCATAAGTCGTTCTACCACCAGTTATTACGCAAATTATAATTTTGCGGGTTTAATTTTATTACACGATGTGATTCCTTCACCGTGGAAGGCTAGGATTGAAAACAAAAACAAAAACAATTCACCCGCCCGTGTATTTAAGCCACTACAAATGCAAAATGAATATCGTGTACCTACCTACCATTATGCACATTATTTACGGAATCTATTTCAGGATGAGGAGACATTGAACTTGTCTCCGTTTTCTTCGTGAGTGAATAGAGTTTCGTGTGGACTTCGCATATTAAACGACTAGCGACCCGCCCTCGCTTCGCTTCGGAAACATTAAAACCCACAAAAACCAAAAAAATAAAATAAAAAAAGTAGCCTATGTTCATCAGGGACAATGTCGGCTTCTAATGGAAAAAGAATTTTTCAAATCGGTCCAGTAGTTTCGGAGCCTATTCGAAACAAACAAACAAACAAATCTTTCCTCTTTATAATATTAGTATAGATTGTTGGAAGGAGTGGTTGTTTTTTGGTAGAGGGTTTGTTACAAAAATAACCTTCAAAATTGAATAAAAAGTCAAAGAACAACAAAAACCCCGCGAAATAAACGGATATTTTTTTATTTCTTTTGAAAGTACGATATTACCCTTCTCTTATATAAAATTTATGCTATCATACAAAAAAAAAAAATGCGCAACGGCGGCCCATAGAAGAATGGGCAATCTCCTTTCATTAATTATTCGTATAAAGTACAAATCTATACCAATATATAAATCTACAGTGGTTTTTACGGATGTTCCGTTATACCTAACTACTGAACCGTGCATCCGATTGAATTGAAACTTGGTATCCATGTAGAAAATACATGTACTTAACGGATAGGCTAATATTTATATGAGTGTTGGACTCCCTAATCATAATGACAATAAATAATAATGTTAATTTTAAATGTCCAGCGAAGCGGGCGAGTACGGCTAGTTTTAACTATGCCTGCCACTAAAATTACTTTTAATGTTTAATTTTGCGATTTGTATTGTCGTTATAATATTGTTTTGGACGTTTTGAATAGTTTACAGCTTTCAAATTGTTTACAGCTTACGGACCACTATAAGGTCCTTGTCTACTCTTAATTTCGTCATTTGCTAACTACCCTCTTATTTATAAATCTGTGAAATATTCAAAACGCCGTAAATAGGATAGCGTAATTATAAGCTAAAGGCTTTGTCAAACAGAACGCGTACTTAGCGCGCGCCAGAGCGCTAAACAAACGCCGCGCTATGACGCCGGGACGTGTTGTACTACTATGGTAACATACCGTCAAACAGAGCGCCAGCGCTATAAGCGCTATAGCGTAGCGCTCTGACGCGCGCTAATTACGCGTTCTGTTTGACGAAGGCTTAAAACAACACAAACACAACGTAATATCGTAAAAGTAGTTTTGTGTTTACGTATCGTTGAAAATGAAGAAAATACTAGGAGTGAATTAACCCATAGACACAGCCCACTGAGTTTCTCTATAATAGGTATCTCACCTGAAAACAAAGAAACGACATTCAAAGTCAACTACCAACCTCAATTCCTTATAAAAATAATTCAATTTAATTTGTTAACAATATGCTTGAACATGGCAGATGTCAACCCTTCAATATCAACACATATCACCGTTATCGACAGCGCCATCTATATGATTACATAGGAGCTATAAAGCGCTTTACAAATGTAAAATACTTTAAAGAAATATAGTTTCTTTACATAGTCCCACGACTTTTTTTAATTTTTTTTTATTGCTTAGGTGTGTGGACGAACTCACAGCCCACCTGGTGTTAAGTGGTTACTGGAGCCCATATACATCTACAACGTAAATGCGCCACACACCTTGAGATATAGTTCTAAGGTCTCAGTATAGTCACAATGGCTGCCTCACCCTTCAAACCGAAACGCATTACTGCTTCACGGCAGAAACAGGCGGGGCGGTGGTACCTACCCATGCGGACTCACAAGAGGTCCTACCACCAGTAATTACGCAAATTATAATTTTGCGGGTTTGATTTTTATTGCACGATGTTATTCCTTCACCGTGGAAGTCAATCGTGAACATTTGTTGAGTATGTATTTCATTAGAAAAATTGGTACCCGCCAGCGAGATTCGAACACCGGTGCATCGCTCGATACGAATGCACCGGACGTCTTATCCTTTAGGCCACGACGACGACGACTTGTTCCATCAACAGTACGCAATTGGATACAGGTAGCAAAACAAACCAAAAACTTGTTTCTTGAATTAAAAGTATTGCGAACTACTCTTCTACCAAACAGTGTGCTTAATGCGAGTTCTTTAACGTTCTCGATAGCGTAAAAGTTAACTCAAAAAATTTGTATGGAGTTGGAACAGCGCCCCTAGCGGCAAACGTAGGGAAGTTGTTCCAACTTGCGATCGAGAAGTTCAAAAAACTCGCACTAAGCACACTGGAGATAAAATACAGACTGCAGTATTTTACTTAATATCGTAATTCCACTTTTACGACACTTCTTAGTACGGTATTTACAAAAGTTCTCTCTCGCTAGTTTTTTCCCCGTACTCATACTTATCCGCTGTGCCCGTTTACCCCCTCTTGGCCTAACGTGTTTCATCCCTACTACAATTATAGCTCCTACAAACATTGTTGCTGTGGCGGTAGCCATCATAAAACACAAGATATTTCACAGATGTCTGAATCTCGCTTACGACATTTTCAGGATAAGCTTGCATATATAAGTTCCGAACAACAACATTTGGAACTCTCAGACACAGCCCACTGAGTTTCTCGCCGGATCTTCTCAGTGGGTCGCGTTTCCGATCCGGCGGTAGATTCTGCAAAGCACGACTCTTGTTAGGGTTCGTGTTAGCATCGTCGTCAGGTTTGAGCCCCGTGAGCTCACCTACTAGTTACGGTTACGCTGGAATAGCCGCTCCAGGCTACCAGCTTAGGTAGGAAAAAAAAAACAACATTTGGACCGTCGGTTTACCGAGCAAATATCACCCGCTCGGTGGAAGATCTTCCTATCGTCGTAATTCCCACACTGTCACATTACAACGAAATTTCTATTAATTTTAACATAATAAATGTTATATTGTATTTTACAATGTTGGATAAGTTAATGACTAATTACAAGATATAAAATTACAAAATAAAATACAAAATATGTATAATGAAGAGTTCACAAGAAACCTTATAATACAATGAAATCACCATTTATGTTAAATCTCAATAAATAATCTATGTTTTATAGAAATAAACAAAAAATTGTTACTTTTTTCATATCAAGCTAACGAGGGAACTTCAACTGTTGACTCGACGTTTGTTTTCGCTCCAGTGTGCTTAGTGCGAGTTTTTTAACTTTCTCGATTGCGTAAAAGTTAACTCAAATTTGTATGAAGTTAGAGCGTTTGCCTTCGTTTACCGCTAGGGGCACTGTTAACAGATAACATTACACATTACGAATACACGCTTAAACAAATAAGCGTACGATTCAATTTTAAGACTTACATACAGACACATTACATACAAGCAATTATTTATTTATAGCAGACAGACACAGAGTTTCATTGTTGATCCAAACTGCGCCGTCTGCATTCGGAAGCTTCTCACTGAACTTCAACAAATCAGATTCACTCCACATTCAATGGATACTAAAATTTAGCTCTGCCCGAGAAAAAAATTGGGAAAGTAAATCAAATAAAATATGGTTTTAAACAACTATTATTAATGTAGAAAATTAACCTTCCACCTAATTTTTCAATAGTAACGGTATTCGTATTGGATTACCTAACGTATCTATAATAGTAAAACATTATTCACTGTATGATTGCGCTTTCCCTCGACTAGGATCAATTTAAAAAGCCACATTGTATTTTTTTTATGACTGAGGGATTACTGGTGACTCAGAGGCCTTTACAGTTTCACCAGGACAGGTGGGCGAGCAAAGGCTCAGCCAGGAGGAGTGGGATTGCTAACAACCGCCCAAACGCCTCGCAGAGAGACCTAACAACTCAAGAGTAGTTGCTTCGCGAATGAATCTACTACTGAATCGCAATCGCGACCCGCTGATAAGATCCGGCGAGAAACTCAGCGGGCTGATGCTTAGGTTAGGTATAACCATGTTGTACACAATTATAAACTACATTTTTGGAATCATCATGAGAAAAAAATTACATAATTAGTATTCGAAACATTAGAGGTGATGATAGTAAACAAAAGCTGAAATTGATTTTTTAATCGCTTAGATGGTTGGACGAGCTCACAGCCCATCTGGTGTTATGTGGTTACTGGAGCCCATAGACATCTACTACGTAAATGCGCCACCCACCTTGAGATATAAGTTCTAAGGTCTCAAGTATAGTTACAGCGGCTGCCTCACCCTTAAAACCGAAACGCATTACTGCTTCACGGCAGAAATAGGCAGGGTGGTGGTACCTACACGTGCGGACTCACAAGAGGTCCTACCACCAGTAAGCAACTAACTAAACTAACAAGTAAATTGAACAATAAAATCAGTTTTGAATTACGTAGGACAACACGCGAAAACTTAAGAATATAATAAACGGGCTTACAAATAGAAAACCTATTCGGATCCGAAGTCGTCAGTAGTGCAAGGAAGTTCTCAATAAAGATAATTGAAATTGATTGCTTGATAACACAATGAACGCGAGTGGGATCCCTATATTATTCGTGCTTGATTTTGCGTTTTAATATATTCGTTGCGTAAACTGGTGGTAGGACCTCTTGTGAGTCCGCGCGGGTAGGTACCACCACCCTGCCTATTTCTGCCGTGAAGCAGTAATGCGTTTCGGTTTGAAGAGTGGGGTATTCCTTGTAACTATACTGAGACCTTAGAACTTATATCTCAAGGTGGGTGGTGCATTTACGTTGTAGATGTCTATGGGCTCCGGTAACCACTTAACACCAGGTGGGCTGTGAGCTCGTCCACCCATCTATGCAACAAAAAAAAAGAAAAAAGAAAAAAAAGGGACGAAGAAGTCCGCGGCTCGATCGGTTTTGAATGCCTACGGGAGCTCCTGAATTGGAACCCTCAACGGTAGATGATGGTACCCACGTGTACTGGCTCCCAGTAAGCCGTAAGTAAGGTGACGAAATAAATTGTATCCTATTTATCTGCTATAATAGAAATGATCTAATGAGTTTGTGGGTTGGGCGTCTTGTGAGTCCGCACACCACCACATCTATTTCTGCGGTGAAACAGTAACGCGTTTGGGTTTTAATGGTCGGGCAGCCGTTGTACTGTAAAAACTGACACCTAAGAACTCACATCTGAAGGTGGGAGGCGGAATTTACATTGTTGATGTCTATAAGTTCCTGTAACCAATTAGCACCAGGTGGGCCGTGATGTTATCCAAACATCGAAGCAATGTAAAATATTGATAACAAGCGGCCCCCTCCGGCTCCGCTCGGGACTTTAACACAAATTTGAACGATTAGATATGTGACGTTGTTTTATCTATACTAATATTATAAAGAGGAAAGATTTGTTTGTTTGTTTGTTTCGAATAGGCTCCGAAACTACTGGACCGATTTGAAAAATTCTTTTTCCATTAGAAGCCGACATTGTCCCTGATGAACATAGGCTACTTTTTTTTTTTTTTGTTTGTTTCATGTGTGTTTTAATGTTTCCGAAGCGAAGCGAGGGCGGGTCGCTAGTTTTTTAAAATAAAAGAACACTTGTTGCGGCATTCTACAGTCGTAGTACACTATATTTTTTTCTATCATCAATATTTTTCGCAGCGCACGCGATGTAAAGAATGTTTTTGGGAATTTTTGTACACCTTGGGTTACATTATTGGAGTTTTAGTAAGGATTCCTATTTTTTTTTTTCAAAAAAGATTATAGGCTATGTCACTCGGGAATAGTGTAGCTTCTAATCAGTGAAAGAATTTTTCAAATCGGTTCAGTAGTTTCAGAGCCTATTCAATACAAACAAACAAACAAATCTTTCCTCTTTATAATATTAAGTCTAGATAATGCCCTCACAAATAGACAAATATATCGGTAGGCATCGGCTTGGCACTGCCCCTTGCATTGCTGAAGTCTATGGGCGACTGTAACCATTCATCACTAAGTGGGCCGTATGCTCGTGTGCTTACAAGGACAATAAAAAAAACTTGTTTAAATAATATATTCTTTAGTGTTTTTGGGTTTACGGGGCTACCTTAGCTATGTTGTAATTTAAGTTGATCCATCTTTTAAAGTTTTGTTATATAACCAGCGGCCCGCTCCGGCTTTTTGTAAATAATAATGTGTTCTACAAAGCCATAGTACATTATTTTATTCTATCATCAATAGTTTTCGCAGCGCACGCGATGTAAAGAATATTTTAGGTAATTTTTTTACACCTTTGGTTACATTATTGGAGTTTTAGTAAGGATCCCTAATTTAAAAAAAAAGAATATAGTCTATGTCACTCGGGGATGGTGTTGCTTCCAAACAGTCAAAGAATTTTTCAAATCGGTTCAGTAGTTTCGGAGCTTATTCAATACAAACAAACAAACAAATCTTTCCTCTTTATGATATTAAATTAATTAATAAATTAATAATATAGATTGTTCTAATTTTGTATTCGTGCATTGCCTGATGAATGAATGCATTATTCTTAATTGGTCTTAGCACAATTCTACATCCACGAATGACGCCTTTCCCTGCGTAAGTCTTGAAGTCGGTAAAAATTACGTTCAAAGATTCCGTTACACAAAACCGAACATACCGAGCTAAAAAAAGCGTTTTATCTTAGCCGTCCGTTAAAGATCTTCCATCGAGTCAAGCAGGATTACGGTTTGCGAACTCCAGTAGCGTCCAGCATCGGTAACGTGACCACCAATATAGTAAGGCTTAAACTAATAATAATGGTCACTGTGTTTAGTGCGAGTTTTTTAACGTTCTCGATAGCGTAAAAGTTAACTCAAATTTGTATGGAATTGGAACGTTTGCAGCCTGATGTAAAAAAAAATGTTACAATTTTATTGATTTATTTTATTTCTATAAAACGTAGACTATTTATTTCAGAGTTCACATAAATAGTGATTTCATTGTATAGCTAGGTTTTGTTGTGAGTTCTTTTATAATATCTTTTGTATAATCGGTCATTAACTTATCCAACATTGTAAAAAAATTACAGTATATCGCGCCCCTAGCGGCAGACGTAAGCAAACGTTCCCACGGCAAACGTAGGCGGGTAGGTACCACCGCCTTACCTATTTCTGCCGTGAAGCAGTAATGTGTTTCGGTCTGAAGGGTAGGGCAGCCGTTGTGACTATACTGATATCTTAGAACTTATATCTCAAGGTGGGTGGCGCGTTTACGTTATATATGTCTATGGGCTCCAGTAACCACTTAACCAGGTGGGCTGTGAGCTCGTCCACCCATCTAAGCAATAAAAAATAAAGAAAGCATATGTTCAAACTGCATACAAATTCGAGTTAACTTTTACGCTACCGAGATCGTTAAAAAACTCGCACGAAGCACACAAAGCGTCTGCCTTCCCACCATTTTGTATGAATAACTCACAGTATAGTAAGTAGACTGCGTGCTCGTTCGGTCCCAGCTGCGAATTAGATTCTCGATTACACGTGGGAGGTACTTACCTCGTATTCGTAAGCGAATTTTCTATATTAAAACTGATGTAACAGCCGATCGCTTAAAATCGAAATTACTTTCTTTAAATAGCTTCTTATAATTCTGATTACTAGAGGTCCCGCAGTAGTCGAAATTCGACTATAATTAATTGGAATTGTAAGTTTGTACGCTATTATGATTGTATTTTATACTTCTATAATAGCAAATTTCGCCAAGACTACACTATAAAAAATATCGACTACATAAGACAAACAATATTTAATCTCAATTTGACAACAGACGTCAAGAGCAAAAGCTTGACAATAAATAGTATGCATGCGTGTGTGCGTCAAATACATGGTATGTAGTGTGTGTAATGTTTTCTTTATTGATTTAATGTATCTTTTATGCATTACTTAAAAAAAAAATTAGCATAGTGCACTTCTTCTCTATATTCTCTATAAGTGTGGAAAATTTCATACTCCTCCGTCCATGCAATTTTCGTAAAAAGGGATACAAAGTTTTTGCTTCACGTATTAATATATAGATATTAGCACGGATCGTTCGTTTTGCGTGTAAAAGGAAAGTTTGTGTTTATATATTTTTTATTGTATTTCGGTCCGATGGACATGTCCGAATATGCGCTTCGGAATTCCACTGCTGTTTCATAAAGACTAGATTAATGTTATACATGTTATCAATCGAATGAATTGGAAAAATGATCGAATATAAAATTATGAAGAATAATCAATATGTATGCGCAATCATCACTACATAGTATAAAACAAAGTCGCTTTCTCTGTCCCTATATCTGTCCCTATGTATGCTTAAATCTTTAAAACTACGCAACGGATTTTGATGCGGCTTTTTTTAATAGATAGAGTGATTGAAGAGGAAGGTTTATGTGTATAATAACATCCAATAAATAGTGGAGAAATCAATAATAAATTACAGTTTCAGAAGCGAAGCCAGGGTGGGCCGCTAGTAACGTAATAATTTCAAACGTCTAACTAACAAAGACATAGACTAGACTTTGTTATCCGTAAATTTAAATGTTGTATTTATTATCTTGGTAATTTTCAGGGCATTTTCTCTACCTGGCCGTGGATCCCACTATGGAGAATATGGTGGTGAAATCGCCACCATTTCGAGGTTTATGGGAGTTTTGTAAGGTCAGTTATAACACAACCGAATATGGTTTATTTAAAGAGATAGTACCTACTAGTACATTACGAATGAATGTTGGAGACTTATTATTCATACTAATAATATAAATGTTGAAATGTTTTTGTTGGTCATACTTTCACGTCGATAAAAGCAACTGATTGACATTATTTTTTAAGGTAACTGCTTTAAGTACGGTAGGCAGCGGCTTGGCTCTGCCCATGGCATTGCTGAAGTCCATGGGCGACGGTAACTACTCACCGTCAGGTGGGCCGTATGCTTGTATGCCTGTATGGGCAATAAATAAAAAAATTAGGCAAAGGTACTTACTTATTATTTCGAAAAAAATATGATAAAAGCCAGCGAAGCCGTGGGTAACCGTTCGTTCAACCGTTGTATCATATCAACAGAAATTCGACCTCATGTCTCAACGTGTGGGCGGCAATCACGCCTAAAACCAAACTACCTGTGAAATTTCAACAACAGCAACACATAAAAATTATGACCCCGAAATATCAGACTCTCGCAGAGTGACTAATACGTCGTTTTGGAAGTTATGGAGTAATTGAGTATACCAAGTACCTAGCCCATAGACACAGCCCACTGAGTTTCTCACCGGATCTTCTCAATGGGTCGCGTTTCCGATTCGGTGGTAGATTCTGCGAAGCGCGACTCTTGCTAGGGCTCGTGCTAGCAACGTCGTCAGGTTTGAGCCCCGTGAGCTCACGTACTAGTTAAGGTTACACTGAAATAGCCTCTCAAGGCTAGAAAAGAAAAAAAAAGCGAAACACTGCTCCTGCTAGGGCTAGTGTTAGCAAATTCAATTAGATTGAGCCCGTGAGCTCACCTTCCGGCCTGCGCGTGGCTGGAATAGCCCCTTAAGCTACCAACGAAGAAATAAGGAAAAAAATTCATCATACACGAGCTCTCGTGGTAGATATGAAACCTCTCAAGGAACCTCTCAAGGCAGGAAACTGTAGTCTTCCTTATATAATAACTAGCTTTTGCCCGCGACTCCATCCGCGTAGAATAGTTACTTTGGCATAACGCTAAATTTTACCACCCACTTCATTTACGTAGAAAGTGAAAATATTTTTGAATTATAGAATGTTAAGGAGGTATTTTAACCCCTATTCTGAAACATTATTTATTGGTACACTTGTATTGGTTTTAGCGTGATGTTATATATAGCCTTCCTCGATAAGTGGGCTATCTAACACTGGAATAATTTTTCAAATCGGACCAGTAGTTCCTGAGATTAGCGCGTTCAAACAAACAAACAAACTCTTCAGCTTTATAATATTAGTATAGATAATACTGTCACCATTTAACTAGAACGTTTGGCAGTTTCATTCAAACTTGCATTTTAATTAACATTCTCCAACAGTTCGAAGCTCTGCTGCACCAGAGAATGATGCAGAACGCCAGCATCAGACTGATATCAGAGTCTACCATATCTGAAGTGCAATGGATCCTACAGGAGGTTGCCGGGAACAATGCCGAGAAGTAAGGCCGTTAATATTGTATTAGTTTACCAATTAATTTATAGTCAAATATAGTTCTCGAACGTTCCACATAGCAATGAGGTATTCTTTTCGAATGGGTAATTTGTTCATGATGGCCTGGTCCTGGCCAGTAGCATTCCTTCCTTAAGAGGCCTGGCTAGAAACCTCAAAGGAAGCTTCGGTAGCATACTTCACACCAGTCGGCCCGGGTACCAACTGGCGCCGGTTTTTTAAGCCACTATTTTATCCACCGCGCGGAGGACAGGAGTGAATGGAGGAACATAGTCCTAACAAAAGCGCTCCGTAAAGGTCACGACCCTCAGCACTGAAGAATACGACGCACGGAGGAGGAGGAGTTCTAAGCTAATGAAATTATGAACTCGTTATTTCCAATTGGGAGTAAATTTACTATTAAGTACGGTGATCTGATAATAGTTTGGCAGATTACGTCTATTTGAGGGTAGGAATCGAATTGGCACGAAATTAGTTTTGTGTTATTTAAATTCATTAGATAAAAGAGGTCATAGCCTGGTGTGTAGTTGTGCAGTGGTTGGAATATGATATCGGAGTCTTAACTGTTATTAAGTAAATTATATGTTTTTCCCTTGACCTCGAACCTCGACATCTCCTCAATTCATATGAGTTTTGTATCACTGCTTTGAGCGAAGCAAAGGCATTTCTGTTTTGATATATACCGCCTAAGACGTCCATTCTTATCCAAGTATAGCCCACGTTCCGAAAACGTCTGATGCCAGGTCCACTTCTCATAGTTACGACTACGAATAATTTGGAAAGACCTAAATGATGCTTATAACCTGAACTAAATTCCTCAACAGCTGGTACCCGATGCGCTTCATGATCGGAAAGGTCCAGCAAGAGGTCAGGATCATCATCGAGATAACCCGGCCGAACTACGTGAGTCTGGCGCAGCCCCTCCCGCACATCGCCATAGACAACATCAGGATGATCGACTGCGTCCCGGAGCCACCAGTCTACAATGGCGAATGCAACCCTGGACAACTCAAGTGCACGATAATGAACGTAAGAACTACTTTAATTAATTATCGTAAATATATGTACACTTAATAATCTATAACACTTTAATATTCAATTTGTATATAACAATAATCCGGCCTAATACCCCAATTAACACCTTGGCTGCGGCAAGTAAAATCATAACTTTTCCGGTGGCGGCTCGAAAAGTGCCCCAACGATATTTCCACCTGTCGTGGCAGGTCTTCTTCGATGCACCAGCATTAGGGTAGATTAAAATGCTATAACTTTGCTAAAACTGGTGGTAGGACCTCTTGTGAGTCCGCGCAAGTATGTACCACCAAGCTGTCTATTTCTGCCGTGCAGCAGTTATGCGTTTCGGTTTGAAGGGTGGGGTAGCCGTTGTAACTATACTTTTTTATATTTTTTATTTTTTTATTGCTTAGGTGGATGGACGAGCTCACAGCCCACCTGATGTTAAGTGGTTACTGGAGCCCATAAACATCTACAACGTAAATGCGCCACCCATCTTGAGATATAAGTTCTAAGGTCTCAGTATAGTTACAACGGCTACCCCACCCTTCGAACCGAAACGCATTACTGCTTCACGGCGGAAATAGGCGGGGTGGTGGTACCTACCCGTGCGGACTCCCAAGAGGTCCTACCACCAGTGATTACGCAAATTATAATTTTGCGGGTTTGATTTTTATTACACGATGTTATTCCTTCACCATGGAAGACAATCGTGAATATTTGTTGAGTACGTATTTCATTAGAAAAATTGGTACCCGCCTGCGGGATTCGAACACCGGTGTATCGCTACCTACAAATGCACCGGACGTTTTATCCTTTAGGCCACGACGACTTCATAGAACCCACAGAACTTAGAGAACTTAGATTATAGAGACCAAATAACTTATATCTCAAAGTGGGTGGCGCATTTACGTTGTAGATGTCAAAAAGAAATAAGTCCTTGCATATCCCTAAAACATATCTTTCATAGTTACACCTGAACAGTTTAAACATATCATTGTATTATAATCCTTCCGATTCCAGAGGGAGTCGTGTATCAAGCTGCACCAAGTCTGCGATCTGGTGAAGGACTGTGACGACGGCAACGACGAGCAGAAGAACTGCGGTATGACACACTTCAGCTTACAGTTTATCCTAGTATTAGAGTAGTCGTAGACGAGAATATACAAAAAAGGAACCACTTGATCCAGCGGGGTATTCCGGGACACCAGGGGCTCCGTCTGGGTGGCCTAACGGGCTGCCGTACCGGGACGGTCGACGTTTCAGAGCCTTCGATTCGCCTCCGAGGCTCCGTCGGCCAGGCGTCCTTGTGATGAACTGCGGCGTCTCGTTGTATTGTTGACCGCCATAACCCATTTACCTCATTCGGATTCTAACCTCGTAGGGGGTTTGGCTTAGGGCCCAGGTTATTAGGTATATATAAAAATGAACTCGAGAACGGCTGGATCGATTTGGCTAAATTTGGTCTTGAATTATTTGTGGAAGTCCAGAGAAGGTTTAAAAAGTAGATAAATGAATGAAAATGCTCGGAATTAAATAAAAATAACAATTTTGTTTTTCCTTTGATGTGTCCCCCGCCGGACGGATTCCTTTTGTTTGTTTTATGTTTATTTTATACAAAAATTTAGGTATTTTATTCATCGATTGAGGCACTACTTACGAAGTCTGCCGGGTCAGCTAGTTACGTTAATAAATATTGTAAGCACTGTTACAGTTCGTTTGACAAGAGCGCACGCTCGTCAAAGATAGCGAATCTTTTGTCCCTACCTAACTGGCCAGCAGCCTCTTAAGGCTTTTCTGTCTTCACCGTAACTGGTAGACGAGGTCACGGGGTCAACCTGAGAGAATTTGCTAACAACAGCAAGAGCAGTGCTTCGCAGAATCTACCACCGGATGGGAATCGCCACTGAGAAGAACCGGCGAAGAACTCAATCAATTACCTACATGGTCCAGATCTATTGAACGTCATGGTTCTATATTCTATGTAGAGTTATATTTCTTTTATTCCAGATAAAATGCCGTATGGATCTTATTGTAACTTCGAACAGGACAGTTGCGGATTTGTCGACGTGCCTCAGTAAGTATCAAAGTGTATTTTCTTTGTCTGGTCTGATTGTCTTAAGGTCTGAGTGTATGGGAGTTCTTATCTCGTATTTTTATTTTATTTTTATTGCTTAGATCGGTGGACGCGCTCACAGCCCACCTGGTGTTAAGTGGTTACTAGAGCCCATAGACATCTGTAACGTAAATGCGCCACCCACCTTGAGATATGAGTTCTAAGGTATCAGTATAGTTACAACGGCCGCCCCACCCTTCAAACCGAAACGCATTACTGCTTTACGGCAGAAATAGGCGGGGAGGTGGTACCTACCGGTGCGGACTCAAATAGGTCCTACCACCAGTAATCTACCACCAGCTCCGAGAGCATTTAACTAGCAGCTGTTCTCTTTGCAGGCCGATTCTGAAATGGTCCCGCCATAGGGGACCGACTCCGACGGACAAAACCGGCCCCAACTACGACCACACTTGCGGCCCCCCAACCCAACCCAACCTCAACCCAACAAAGAAAGTTCCTCCCCTGACCCCCCCCTTCCATATGCACTGCGCCGGGTACTATTTCTTTGTGAACATGAACGTTACCGGCCCCAATAAAGAGAAAGCCGATTTCGCATCGACCGCCGTTATGAAGACCGTCATTTTTAACCCGCCTCCGAAGGTCCATGGGGATGTCGCGTCCAAGTATTACAACTGCTGCATGGTAAGTAACGCCCAAAAGGTTCTCGAGTGGCGACCGCAGCCGGAAGACGTAGGATGGGTCTCCCACGAGATGGGCAGACTACTTGATGCAAGCANCCCCAATAAAGAGAAAGCCGATTTCGCATCGACCGCCGTTATGAAGACCGTCATTTTTAACCCGCCTCCGAAGGTCCATGGGGATGTCGCGTCCAAGTATTACAACTGCTGCATGGTAAGTAACGCCCAAAAGGTTCTCGAGTGGCGACCGCAGCCGGAAGACGTAGGATGGGTCTCCCACGAGATGGGCAGACTACTTGATGCAAGCACCGCGGTACTAGTCATTGTGGTGAGTTTTGGGGGAGACCTATGTCCAGCAGTGGACGTCTGTGAGCTCTAGAGCTGGACACTTACAACATTTGGATCCATTCAAGAATAAGAAGTGTATGGTATATAAGAAGTGTTGGATTTGCCTAATTACTGGTATTCGCGTCTTGTGAGACCCCAGGAGTGGGTACCACCGTCCTACCTATTTCTGCCGTGAAGCAGTAATACATTTCGGTTTTAAAGGCGGGATAGCCGATGCGATATGGAATAAAGATTTCGAATTCATGCTTCAAGACAGCGGCAATTACGTTTTCGATATTGATGGGCTCCGGTAACCACTTGACACCGGGAGGGTCGTGAGCTCGTTCATCTATATAAGCATAAAAAAAGGTTGAAGAACACTTCTATGCCCTCGTAAGGCCAATCTGAAGATTACCTGAAAATTTCATTGATATTGGTCGAGCCATTACGGAATCTATAAAGAACATTGACTTTTATTATTATACTAGCTGTACACCCGTCCTCTTCGCTGGGCATTTAAAATTAACATTAGTATTTTTCACCCCTACAAAGATTCTCATCATTAACGCCCCCGCAACTGGTGTAGGGAGTCCACCACTCATATAAATATTCGCCTATCCATTACGTAATGTATAAAATTTTCTACATGGGTACCAAGTTTCAAGTCAATCGGATGCATGTTTCAGTAGTTATAACGGAACATCCGTAAAAACCACTGTAGATTTATATATTAGTATAGATAGATTACAATTCATTTTAACAGGTAAGGTTTTACTACCAGCAAAACGGACGTAACTATGGCTCTTTAAGCGTGGACGTGGTAGAGCTGACAGCCAGAGGGAACATCAGCACTTCAGTTTGGTTCTCCACTAAGGACAAAGGCGAGAACTGGTACAGAGCTTCCATCTTCCTTCCTAACGTAACTAGGAGGTGAGTGCGACAGGATCTTTACTTTTTTTTATTTATTGCATACATGGGATGACGAGTACACAGCCCACCTGATATTAAGGGTTAACAAAGCCCATAGACATTTTTATTTGGTGCAATTTTTCCTTATTAGGAAAGGCAAGGGGATCTAAGCTCTACAACGTAAATGCCGCCAGCCATCTTGAGATATGAGTTCTAAGGTTTCAGTATAATACAACGGCTGCCCCGCCCTTCAAACCGAAACGCATTACAGCGGACGTCCGGACTCTCAATACGTCCTACCACCACTAATTACGCAAACTATAATTTTTCGGGTTTCATATTTGTTACACGATGTTATTCCTTCACCGTGGAAGTCAATCGTGAACATTTGTTAAGTATGTATTTCATTAGAAAAATTGGTACCCGCCTGCGGGATTCGAACCCCGGTGCATCGCTAGATACGAATGCATCGGACGTTTTATCCTTTAGGCCATGACGACTCACTCTTATTGGTACGAGTAAATGATCTACCAGGGCTTAAGCCGTAATCGAAGCTCATAGCTTTTCCAACGTGAATGCTGCCCAAACCTTTTAGAAAATAACATACGACTGGATAGGCCGAATGGACGGGCTTGCATTTGGCAGGAACTTTTTTTCCTATCTATTCGCGGGTAGCCTAAGGAGCTAGGTGAGCTCACGGGCTCAGCCTGAGAGATTACTACTCATATTTCTAGCTCACAATAATTCCAGTAAAACTTTATGGTTTAATTCCACTAACTGATCGAAATAGCGGTCCTCAATTCTCAAACGCGATTCGGTTCCAGATATTACCTCCAGTTCAAGACCCGTATGGGGATGCGTATCTATTCGGATTCCGCCATCGACGACTTCTCGATGTCACCGGAGTGCTTCGGTCTGAACGTGGACCCGGAGGAACTGGGAGACTACAACTATTACGATCCGGTTTTTGATGAGAAGACCACGCCGCATAAAGATTTCGCCGGTCGGGTCTGTGAGTATCCTCGACACGTTGACCTTTAGAGACCTTTTGGGTCATGACCTTTAATATTTCGCTCGGCCTTTTTTAATATATAATATAATAGTTATAATCAAACTGGACAATAGTCTCCATTCCGTCGCTCCGCGCTTTATACTCATTAATACAGGTCGATCTATCGACGGTTCGCACTCAAAGGATTAAAGTACCTTAACCAGATTTTTCCGTTGAAACCGTTGACTTTGTTAATTTCACACAGAGATTTATTCTGTATACGCCTTAATACCGAGATATTTCTCCACTTCACCATTTTGAAATAATCAATCAGTCATTTGTGATCAAATCAGCTTAAAAACAATTACTTCATCCGAGATTTCCATTACCGACAGCTATCAGGTGTCATAGACGACAATCTAAATGCTGACCACCTTGAAATAGCTACCCTATACAAAAACTAGTGGTAGCAGAGTATACTGTTAGCCTAGTTCCGCCCTTGAGTCTGGAGGAGTCTGGTACGGTCTAGACTATCTGGTCTGAGAAGCTCTGGTTTCCTCAGATTACAGGTTCACGCCGTGCGGCGCGTCCGGTCGGTACGGACCCAACCAGACCATGTGCGACGCGGCCTACAACAACACTCCGGTCGATGTTAATGTCCTCCACACCCATCCGTACGCCGGCGTCCAGGTCTGGGAGGTTCCCGAGGAGGGGCTATACACGTGAGTATTCCTTCTGTTATCTCTTTTTTTTCTTGTGGTCACTGGAACCCATAGACACCTATGACGTTAATGCGCCACCCACCTTGAGATATAAGTTCTAAGGTCTGAGTATAGTTACAACGGCTTCCCCACCCTTCAAACTGAACTGAACTGAACGCATTACTGCTTCACGGCAGAAATAGGCAGGGTGGTGGAACCTACCCGTGCGGATTCACAAGAGGTCCTACCACCAGTAATAGATAATATATTTGCAATGTCATTGAGGCCAGGGTCAAATGTCTTTGTAAAAAATAAATATTTGGGATTGTCATCAGTTAGGGGTAGTAAAGAAGAGAACGCGTGAGGCTTTTGTATAGATCTCCATATTTTTATAGATTTTTATGGTCACAGAGAGATTGTGTAAGCGTTATAATTTTATGAAGGAAATAAGTTCACAGCGTTAATAAATTGTCTTCTTTCTTTTGAAAATTCGTTGCGTTTTTTTTATTCTTGGCAGTGACGGACTTAAGCTTGATGCAGCTCTAGGCCCTATTTATCGCGCCACCCTTAATGTTTGATTTTTTTTTATAAAAAATAATCTGAACTCATTTTCAAAGGAGACGACTGACTGCCTTTACTATTATTCGTCTATGTAATTTTGGTATTTCAAAAATTTTGCCGCCTCTCAAATCATGCCGCCTCACTGGCCTAAGCGTAAATCTACCACTGATTCTTGGGCTGCTTTTATCAAATGGCGTCGTTACAAAACAAATTCAAATTGTAGTCTAATTTCGGTTCATCCGACGATTGCATGGTATAATGATATCTTCTAAATAACACTTAGAATCCATGTCCCGAAGTGGATCACACGATATTCCAGTTATGATGCTGAGATTGACTTATTGAGAGTGACATCTATATATATATTAACACGTGAAGGAAAAACTTTGTATCCCTTTTTACGAAAATTGCGCGGACGGAGGAGTATGAAATTTCCCACACTTATAGAGAATATAGAGGAGTGCAGAATGTTAATGTTTTTTTAAATTATGCCCAAAAAATACATTAAATCAATAAAATAAAAACATTGCACACACTACCATGTATTTGACGCACACACGCATGCATACTAATAATTATTGTCAAACTTTTGTTCTTGACGTCTGTTGTCAAATTGAGAATAGATTAAATATTGTTTGTCTTTATTATTATTTTTCTATAGTGTAGTCTTGGCGAAATTTGTGATTATATAGGAGTATAAATAAATACTTAGTCTTTGAAAATAGAATCATAATAGTGTACAAACTTATAATTTCAATTAATTATAATCGAATTTCGACAACCGGGCGACCACTAGTATTGGTAAATTAGGGAGCTGTGAGTGATGTGCATCGTGTTTGTCCCAGGATAATAGCCACAGGTGCGAGTGGGGGTCTGGGCTCGGCCTGGGCGGGCGTGTCTCATGGGGCGCAGGCCCGGGCCCTCCTCGAGTTGCACAGGAGTGAGCTGGTCTACATGTTAATCGGACAGCAAGGCATCAACGCCTGCAAAAAGGTAAGGGACATTGCCTCATCAGCTCTACAGCCGCCAAGACTTAAGTAGTTCAAATTTAAAACTTCTAATATCACTACATAGTATAAAACAAAGTCGCTTTCTCTGTCCCTATATCCCTATGTATGCTTAAATCTTTAAAACTACGCAACGGATTTTGATGCGGTTTTTTTTAATAGATAGAGTGATTGAAGAGGAAGGTTTATATGTATAATAACATCCATTAAATAGTGGAGAAATCAATAATAAATTACAGTTTCCGAAACGAAGTGAGGGCGGGTCGCTAGTATAGAATAAGATAAAGAGTTTGAGCCCGTATTTACAGACCTTATCGGCCCAGGAGAGTCAAGAATGTTCCAGAAAGCCCTCGAACGAGAGCCTCCAAGTGTTCACGAGTAAGACACACGAGGTCAGGAATACTCACGTCATAGACGGAGGAGGGGGAGGGGGCGGAGGAACTTTCGTGTTTCTGGTGAGTAGATCGACCTTGTGGAACGCTCAACTTGTCCCGAATTTTAATTGATGAGTAAGTAGAATTGTGTCATTTTAATAAAGCTTGGGTCGGTAGACAGCGGCTTGGCTCAGTAGGCAGCGGCTTGACTCTGCCCCTGACATTGCTGACGTCCATGGGCGAGGGTAACCACATACCTTCAGGTGGGCAGTAAGCTCATCTGCCTACAAAGGCAATAAATAAATAAAAAACCTGGGACCTGCGGTTCACCCACAGTGCGCGTCTAGTACTGTACCTTTATTAACAAGTTGACTGCGTTATGCGGTTTAAAAACCGTCATGCCCACTGTCTTCGCTTTCGCTCGGCACGGCAGGCGACCAAATCTACTGGTATGGATATATTCAAAGACGGACTTTTGTGAGACCTATCAGGTCTCATGTCGACTGTAAAGAAGTCCAATCTTGTCTCGAAAAGACCTCATACGCACTGGCTGATAGTTCTTCAAAAAACAGATCCGCAGTCAACGTGTTAAGCAAGGTAATCCAAGTCCTAGGCGTTGGACAACTCAATCACGTCCATACTTTTTGTGACAATACAGAAAATCAAGTGAAGAACATTTCTTCCTATCTCCACGAGGGCACTTTCCACATTCAGACCTGCTGATCACTACTGTTAGCGTTTTAAATTAATTTAATCTTCTACCCATTTTTTTATTGCTTAGATGGGTGGACGAGCTCACAGCCCATCTGGTGTTAAGTGGTTACTGGAGCCCATAGACATCTACAACATAAATGCGCCACCCACCTTTTATAATAAACAATTGATTCCCCACAGATGGACAAAGAGGGCCGCCCGTTCCCACTGGTCGTGGCCGGAGGAGGCGGAGGTATATCCGTGGGCATCTTCCGCGACGACGGCTCCCAGCACGGGAAACCCCACACGAATTCCACTCCTGAATCTGGGTACATGTACGGCCAGCCAGACAAGACCTCAGGTAAGTTTACGCTTTATTAATTTCAGGGAGACCTTGGGTGTGGTGAGACGGCAACCTTATCTTGGTCTGCGTGGTGGAATGAGGTTCACCTAGTATTATGTGAGCACTGGAGCTCGTAGACTTTGCACCCCTAATGCCTCAACCCACGGTTTGTATTTTTGACTATGTATGTAGTGGCTTAGAATGGCAACCCATCTCTTTGTGGATGTCGTCAGGTTTTAAGGCATTCACCGCAGACTGGGCAGCAGCGGGTGAAATATTGTATCGACTATCGCCGTACTTCGATCGACCACCTATGAAGGGTGGGACCGAAACATTGAAAATAGAAAAAAATTAACATAAAACACCTTATCAAGTTTTTTATTACTTGCTTAGTTTGATGGACGAGTTCACAGCCGACCTGGTGTTAAGTGGTTACCTGGAGCCCATAGACATCTACAACATAAATGCGCCACCCATCTTGAGATATAAATTCCAAGGTCTCAGTATAGTTACAACGGCTGCCTCACCGTTCAAACCGAAACGCATTACTGCTTCACGGCAGAAATAGGCAGGGTGAAGGTATCTACCCGCGCGGACTCACAAGAGGTCCTACCACCAGTATTTGTTGTTGAAGTATTTTATAAGAAGGCTTTATATGTTTAATGAGCAAAGAATACGTGGTGCTCGGTACAGGAGCGGGTGGCGGGTGGGTGGGCAGGTCGGGGCCCATCACGCCGGGGTCCGAGCGAGTGCGGGGCGCGGCGCTGAGGGAGGGGGCGGTGGGCGGAGGGGCGTGCGTGGGGCGCGCTGCGGGGGGCTTCGGGGGCGGAGGAGGCGGATGTCTCAAGGGAGGCGCCGGCGGGGGGTACATGGGTAAGTACGAGACAGACTTCCGAGAGATGTTAAAGACGCGAGCACAACGAGTAATGATGCGAGAAATATGTTACTAGGAGTCATAGCATAATTCGAATTGGGGGAGTAGGTGATGACGATTTCAGTGTACGATTGGTAAGAATGGAACGTATGAAAAGAGTGTGAAACGAAGCGTTAAGATGTGAGTGAGAGAAAACGGAAAGAAAGAGAGAAGAGAATGACAGACAGAATGAGAATTGGAAGAGGGCGAAGAAGGTTGAAAAATGAGCAAGACGTAATAAAAGTGTTAATTATTAATTATTATTAGAAGAGAAGATTTTGGAACAGGGGAAGTTTTCTTTATGCGCTGCGATCCCTATTCTACATTAGTAAGACTGAAATATTTAGGAAATCGGGTCGATAAAGCTCGTACCAGATGATAAGGACTATTCAGGAGGTGACGCATACTATGTTAAGGCCTATAGACCTGTCTGGTCTCCGCGACCTACTAAAGGCTGCAGCATTCGGATTCTAGCAACAGAGCACCGGTGGTTGTGGACGGTCTACATCTAGCATCGACAACAGCACCTTTGAAATGATAAACAAATCGTGAAATCTCCTATTTTAGAAGTTGACAGCATTTAATTACAACCATCCTTAGAAGGAACTTTTTGGCGGGAACGCGAGGAGTGAAGTTGTGTGATTTGTTTTATTTTGTCTATTTAGTGTTTCTTCGGGTTTAAATGTGTAATAACAGTGGTTTAATGACTGTTTAATATCTGTGAAAGTGCACAAATGTGGGAAAATGAAACAAATCCGCTAGACGTAACTTCTCGGGATCCTCCAAAAAGTCCACTGAAAAAATCTCAGTGAATGACCACCATTTTTCTGAGGTTATATTTCATCTCGTATCATCTCATCTCATTTCATTTAATTTCATAAATAGGACACGGCTTAAAGGTCTTAGTTACCATGTCATACAATCCCTAAAAAAAAACATCCTTAGAAGAGGTTGTTCGTGTTCAAAGGTGGCAACACTAACGAGGGCGAGCACGGCGGAGGGGGCTGGTCCTACATAGACGGCAGCCGCGCCCTCCGCGTGTACAGTGACGTCAGCGTGGCGCCGCGTACCGGGCCGGGCGAGGTGCTCATCATCCCCGCCATACACGTGCGTATTGTTCGACAGACTAAACTGAAAATAAATCATCCCCTAATAATACTCTATAATTAAGTAGTGGGGGTCTTGTGAGCCCTCACAGGTAAATCCCACCAGCTGTCTGTATTTGCCGCAGAGAAAGGTCTTATGGGATTGGGACAGTCATGATACAATTAAGACTTCGACCTCATGCCAAGGTCATGCCTCATTCACATTGCGATGTCTATCGGCTACGGCATCACTTAACATCAGGCGAGCCGTTGAAATCGTTTGTCACCATACAGTTAAAGCTCTGTTTATTAAATTTTGCACTCACTTTTCACACAAGGCGTAGACATGATTATATTTCAATGCACCTACAATTATTTACTCTGCTGCAGTACCTTTGGCACTAACTCCACCAATGTGAATTATAAATTAAGTGTAGTAAATTCATAAAAAAAAAACAATAATTAAAACTACCTATCGAGAGATGTAGACATGGTAACCCGTTTACGCAAGATGTAGACATAAATAAAACTACTTTTCGCCGTCACCGTCACGACTAATTGTTCAAGTCGTCAGAAACAATATAAAGACAATAAACAAACGCGAGATCGAACCACGAGGGTAGTTATAATGATGTCTGCTCCCCCCCTCACTGCCCCCCACATACCTGTATGCTTAGTGCGAGTTTTTTAACGTTCTCGACAGCGTAAAAGTTAGCTCATATTTATATGGAATGGGATCGTTTGCCTACGTTTGCCGCTAGGGGCGCTGTTCCAACTGCATACAAAATTGGGCTAACTTTTACGCTATCGAGAACGTTAAAAACTCGCCACTGAGCGGGCGCGCTCTTGTGGCAGGATTGCGGCTGCGACTACCGGTGCGTGGCCCTCAACGAGTTCAGGAGCGAGGTGCGGTGCTACTGCCCCTCATCCTGGGTCTTCAACCCCATAGACCCCGGGAAGTGTGTCTGTAAGTGGTCTTTAATCTCTTTTTTTTTTTTTCTAAAGTTGTGTCTCTATATAGGTCAATGTCTACCCACAACCTGCCTACAAAGAATATTGCGGTATTTTGGTCATGTTGCAAGCAGGGATACCAGCAATTTGGAACGCTTAGTGGTGACCGGTAAAATAGAGGGAATTTTTACTGGTGGTAGGACCTCTTGTGAGTCCGCGCGGGTAGGTACCACCACCCTGCCTATTTCTGTCGTAAAGCAGTAATGCGTTTCGGTTTGAAGGGCGGGGCAGCCGTTGTAACTATACTGAGACCTTAGAACTTATCTCAAGGTGGGTGGCGCATTTACGTTGTAGATGTCTATGGGCTCCAGTAGCCACTTAACATCAGGTGGGCTGTGAGCTCGTCCACCCATCTAAACAGTAAAAAATAAAAATTAGGGGTAGAGGTCCCAAACGATGGTCTGACCAAATAGCGGAGGAACTGAGGGTACCTGTCAGCGACGCACTCCATCAAGCTGCAAAATGGGATCGATGGAGACAGCTGGTTGACGGAATCGGACGGAGTCACGATCCTCAGTAGTGAGGGACCGATCGAAGAGAGAGTCTCTATATCGGGCAAGGATTAATAAGACATGTGTCCAGTTAAGTGACTAAAGTATATTGGGATTACAACCTAACGTGCTATCGACAGCACGACAATCCCCAGACTAGCGTAACACATACATACTGATGGTTGCTATGGGAACATTTGTGGTACCTACACCAATATTTACACTAACTTCATCACGTATGACGTCATTTGTGGTCACAATATTGATTGTGTTAGGTGATGAAAATCTCTATATATATATTTTTTACGTTTTAGATCCGAACACTTGGTTCACAGTGGAAGGAGAATGGAGCACATTCACGTGGACCATTGTGGCGTCTTCTATAGGGTGTGTGGTGCTGGGGGCTCTGGTGTCCCTCTCCTTGGTGCTATGTGAGTATGGAGATCTTGATGTGTGCAGTTGAGGGAAAACCTCAAAGCTCTGACTTATTCGCTTCGTTGAGGATAGCGACTAGAAGATTAGGAAATATGAGGTCTTAAAACTTCTTTGTGTATTTCTTGTGTATTTCTTTTTTCTTGCAATTACCATTAAGAATCACAGATGTATAAAACTATGTACTCGCGTGGGATACACGCGAGTGAGTTTGAATAAGAGCAGTGGACAGACGTATAAGAGAATCCAAAATTGATGAATTGTTGACTCCCAATCTATATATATATAAAAATGAATTGCTGTTCGTTAGTCTCGCTAAAACTCGAGAGCGGCTGGACCGATTTGACTAATTTTGGTCTTGAATTATTTGTGGAAGTCCAGAGAAGGTTTAAAAGGTAGATAAATATGAAAATGCTCGGAATCAAATAAATATAACAATTTTGTTTTTCCTTTGATGTGTCCCCCGTCGGACGGATTCCTTTTGTTTGTTTCAAGTTTATTTTACAAATATAAAATACAAAAGTTTAGGTCTTTTATTTATCGATTGAGGCACTACGGCCTACATAAATAAATGCGTTAAATGCGGTAAGCGCGGAATGGACATATGAAGCGTAGAGAGAAGATGCATGTGACTAGGAGATGTATGGAAATGGTGGTGCAAAGTAGAGAGGAGGTAGGTAAGAGGTCGACCGAAGAAGACATCGATGGAGTAAGTGAATGACGATATGAGAGAGAGAGAGGAGTGAGTGTAGAGATGTCGGATGAGAGAAGAGATTTTTTTTTTATTGCTTAGATGGGTGGACGAGTTCACAGCTCACCTGGTGTTAAGTGGTTACTGGAGCCCATAGGTATTTACAACGTAAATGCGCCACCCACCTTGAGACATAAGTTCTAAGGTCTCAGTATAGTTATAACGGCTGCCCCACCATTTAAACCGATTACTGCTACATGGCAGAAACAGGCAGGGTGGTGGTACCTACCCATACGGACTCACAAGACGTCTTACCACCAGTACAGAATGAAATAGAAAAATTCATTTGCGGACATCATCCTCAGACAATCGCTACCAAAAGAAGAGGGAAGCGAGACAGGCACAGAAGCGGATCATGGAACAAGAGGTCCAACTGCACAGACTCAGGAACGCTCCGGGAGGAAACGACAACGCGCTGGCAATGGCTTTCAACCCTCACTACGGGAGCGAAAGCTTCCTACCTCAAGGGATCGATGTGAGAGGACTCCCGCAAGTCTCGAGGGAAAGCTTAAAGCTTGTCAAGTGAGTTTAACAATTGAAATCTGTATTTTGTTCCATGGGGAGTGCTCTGAGGAATTGTTTGAGATGATCCCTTCATCTCCTTTTTATCACCGCACCTCCCGCCATCGGAGCAGAGTTCGTCCATATCACCTGGAACCGCTGCGTTCATCGACAGTACGTTTCCAGAGGTCTTTTTTGCCACGTACCATCCGGCTTTGGAATGAACTTCCCTCCACGGTGTGTCCCGAGCGCTATGACATGTCCTTCTTCAAACGAGGCTTGTGGAGAGTATTAAGCGGTAGGCAGCGACTTGGCTCTGCCCCTGGTATTGCTGAAGTCCATGGGCGACGGTAACCACTAACCATCAGGTGGGCCGTATGCTCGTCTGCCTACAAGGGCAATAAAAAATTTAAAAAAAAATTATTTTCATCGCTGTGAAGGTTTTGGCAAAGTTTTACGACCGGTCGCCGGGACCGGTTTGAAGGGTGGGGCTCTTCAAACCTTCAAACCGAAACGCATTATTGCTTCACGGCAGAAATTGGCAGGGTGGTGGTACTTACCCGCGCGGACTCACAAGAGGTCCTACCACCAGTAAGAAACATATTGGAAAATCGTCCTATTTCCCTAGAGCATTAGGCCAGGGCGCCTTCGGCGAAGTCTACCAGGGCCTGTACCGGCACCGCTCGGCCGACGCCGCGGAGATGCCGGTCGCGGTCAAGACCCTTCCCGAGCTGTCCACCGGCCAGGCCGAGTCCGACTTCCTGATGGAGGCCGCCATCATGGCCAAGTTCAACCACGCCAACATAGTCCACCTCATCGGCGTTTGCTTCGATCGACACCCGAGGTATTTCCGTCCGTTGGAACAGGATTATAGATTACACTTAGGTTCGTCAATAAGAACTGAATAAAAAAAAAGAGGATCTGACAACAAACAGACGTACCTAACTGTTTCGTCTTTGGCTATTTATACAGGGTGACTTGTAATTCGACGTATTCCTTTTGGGATGTGATAATACATCTAATTTCAAACAAAATTAACCCTAATGTCCCTAATACCAAAGTGTCTCGTTATCGAGATATTCAATATTTTTCGTTTTGTTTTTAAAAAAATCCTGAAATAACTGCAAAAAAAAACATTAAATAAAATGCTAGTGTTTTGAATTAAGTTGTTTGAATTTTTATCAGTTACCAATACATCAACTAACATTTATTAATTAAAATAGCAAGTGATTTCTTATAAAATTTTGTTTTGATTCTCTAATTTGGTCGATAGAAAACTGGATTTATTTTGAAAAAACAACTAAACATTAAGCGGACAAACTACTAGAAAAACTTTCTTGTTTTATTAGCTACTTAAAAACATTAAATTATTTACAAAAAAAGGAAAGATTCTCCGAAAAAAAATGAATAACATGATAATAAGTAAAGTGAATTTTTTATTAATCAATTTTGCGACATATTTTACAAATCTTGTTCAAAGTGACGTCCCCTACGGTAAACACATGCCCGCACACGCTTCCTTATTTCTGTCACTGTCACTCTTGAAGTGAAAGACCTATATTTCTTGTCCTATACGCCGTTCCCAGGTTCATTGTGCTAGAATTGCTGGCCGGCGGCGATCTGAAGAACTTCCTCCGCGAGAGTCGCCCCAAGCCGGAGCGGGCCAGCGCCCTCACCATGAAGGACCTGCTTCTCTGCTCGGTGGACGTCTGCAAGGGATGCCGGTACTTGGAAACGAAGAGATTCATACACAGGTAAGTTTGATATAGAGACGATTACGACAAGGTCTTTTGTCTATCGCGATTTTTTATTTATTGCTTAGTTGGGTGGATGAGCTCACAGCCCACCTGGTGTTGTTAAGTGGTTACTGGAGCCCATAGACATCTACAACGTAAATGCGCCACCCATCTTGAAGTATAAGTTCTAAGGTCTCAGTACAGTTACTACGGCTACCCCACGCCTCAAATCGAAACGCATTACTGCTTCACGGCAGAAATAGGAGGGGTGGTCGTACCTACCCGCGCGGACTCACAAGAGGTCCTACCATAAGTAATTACGCAAATTATAATTTTGCGGGTTTGATTTTTATTACACGATGTTATTCCTTCACCGTGGAAGTCAATCGTGTCAATCAACAAATGTGAGTACATATTTCATTAGAAAAATTGGTACCAGCCTGCGGGATTCGAACACCGGTGCATCGCTACATACGAATGAACCGGACGTCTTATCCTTTAGGCCACGACGACTTTTAAACTTCCCAGGGACATAGCGGCGAGGAACTGTCTGCTGACGTCCCGGGGCCCGGGCCGCGTGGTCAAGATAGCGGACTTCGGCATGGCGCGAGACATATACCGCGCCGACTACTACAAGAAGGGCGGGAAGGCCATGCTGCCCATCAAGTGGATGCCGCCCGAAGCTTACATCGACGGAGTCTTCACCACTAAGACGGATGTCTGGTAAGACATTTTTTTTTATTGCTTAGATGGGTGGACCAGCCCACCTGATGTTAAGTAGTTACTGGAGCCCATAGAAATCTACAACGTAAAGGCGCCAACTACCTTCAGATATAAGTTCTAAGGTCTCAGTATAGTTACAGCGGCTGCCCCGCCCTTCAAATCGAAACGCATTACTGCTTCACGGCAGAAATAGACAGGGTGGTGGTACCTACCCGCGCGGACTTACAAGAGGTCCACCAGTAAAAAAGACACGCTTAATGCTCGCACCCGGTTGATGCGGTTCCAATACTTGATGAACCGGACTTAGGCTGTAATTATTGCCTGGTGATGAAGATGAGTTATATTTTGATTGCCTCTGAGATTAAACCAGTTTATAGTACAGCTGATGGCGAGTAGTAATCATAGCTCGAAAACGTCAGTAACGTTCTCTGGCACAGCCATGCGATATGCTTGTAGTTTCAATTCGGAACTTGACTATGTACTTCGCAGTATTACTGGTGCTAATGATACATTTTCATTTTTTTGTTACCAAATTATTATTGGTATTATTGCTTGTTTCGACTTCAATATGTGCTCAAGGGGTGCGTTCTCGTTGTTCACCTTTTTACGGTGTGTATTAATGGTGTCCGAGTTGAATGGTGGAGAGTGTAAAAGGAAAAGACAGGGGAGCTCCCTCCACTCTATATATAACTATAACTATACTTGAGACTTTAGAACTTATATCTCAAGGCGGGTGGCCCATTTACGTTGTTGATTTCTATGGGCTCCAGTAACCACTTAACACCGGGTGGGCTGTAAGCTCGTCCACCGATCTAAGCAATAAAAAATAAAAACTCCCACTGAAATTCATTTCAGTCTTATTGGACGTAAACACCATACTCAAACAATACTGGGGAACCTTGGAACTTGGAAGACTCTTTACTTCTAGCTAAAAGACTCTAAAAGTAACTTCAACATACGTTAAAGACACAACACACGGATTACCTTAAAACAAATATAAGTTAATTCGATGGTAGATAAAGCATAGAATGAAAGATGTATGTATGACGCCAATCTGTATCGTGCAAGCAGCCTCTGTGAGATAGGTGCGCATGTGCAAGTTGAAATCTTGTCCGAACCTAGACCTTCACTGCTGGAACATCCGATCTCAGTATTATTTTCCAAACCCCTCTTTAATATTTAAGACTAGCTGACCCGGCAGACTTTGTAGTGCCTCAATCGATAAATCAAAAGACCTAAACTTTTGTATAAAATAAACATAAAACAAACAAAAGGAATCCGTCCGACGGGGGACACATCAAAGGGAAAACAAAATTATAATTTTTATTTAATTCCGAGCATTTTCACGAGTTTTAGCGAGACTAGCGAACAGCAATTCATTTTTATATATATAGAAGATATAGCCAATACGCTGGGTGGTGCTCTGGAATATCACCTCCCAATAAATGCCGCAGATGCCGTAAGGCAACTTAGGGATTTACCGAAGAATGGGCATCAGCGATCTCTTGCAGTATTGTAAGTCCCCACGGATAGGTACGACTGTCCTGCCTAGTTCTGCCACGAAGTAGTCACGTGTTTTGAGCCGTGGGCTGGGTCACTCTTTGATAATTAAAAAAAACTATACGTCTTTTTGATCACCAATTTCTAAACGAATATACAATCCTTAGGTCATTCGGCGTGCTGCTATGGGAGGTATTTTCGTTAGGCGTGATGCCGTACACCGGATGCGCCAACCGGGAGGTCATGGAGCTGGTCTCTGGTGGAGGAAGACTGGAGAAACCGTACGGTGAGGGATCTGAATATCACAAATTTAAGCGTCGTACTCCGATACCTGGGCACTATATTTAATACCGGCATGATTAGCCCTTTACGCGCACCCCGGATATGCATCAGCGCTGGGCATCTCGCCCTCCTCGCCTTTCTAGCCCCAACCTCACACAACTACCCTCCAGATTGACATATAACCAGTCGCTGGTCGCATACTATCTATGATTTTTTTTATTGCTTAAATGAGTGGACGAGTTCACAGCCCTGACGTTAAGTGATTACTGGAGCCCATAGACATCTACAATGTAAATGCGCCATCCACCTAGAGATATAAGTTCTAAGGTCTCAGTATAGTTACAACGGCTGCCCCACCCTTCAAACCGAAACGCATTACTGCTTCACGGTAATAATAGGCAGGGCGGTGGCGATGATATTATGAAATGAAATAAAGTTGATTAATATGAAACATGGCATGAAATGAGATGGGATGAAATATAATCTCAATAAAATGGTGGTCATTTACCGATACTTTTTCAGTGGACTTTTTGGAGGATCCCGAGAAGTTACGTTCAGCGGCTTTGTTTGATTTTCCCACATTTGTGCACTTTCACAGATATTAAACAGTTAATAAATCACTATTATTACACATTTAAACCTGAAGAAACACTAAATAGACAAAATAAAACAAATCATACAACTTCACTCCTCGCGTTCCCGCCGTTCCCGAGATTTAATCGTAATGCGGAGTTTACATTACGAAATTAGTGTCATGCATGTTGAACTCAGTTGCACGAAAGTAGTTTCGATACATGCGAAAGTAATTTCGTTAAAAAATTAGTGTCGTGAATTCCACAGTATCGCAGTAACCATGGCGCCGCCAGCATCAAAGCTATATTTTGCTATATTCAATGTAGCTAAAGAAATGCTTATATAATATATGCTTCTTTGACATATTGCATCTCCATGGCTTCCATAATTATTTTGTAGGCCGCATCTCGGGCATGCCTATTTTTATATTGTAGGTGTTTCGGGTCCCAGAGACTCTTGTCGCTGATATTCATTAATGAATTGTATTTTTTTTCTGTACTCCATCGTTGGTTTGCCATTTTCAAGGCTTGAAGCGCGTCCGGACTAACAATACACACGTCCGCGCGGCGCAGGCCCTTTCGCGACATTAGTTTCACGTCGCGTTTACACTATGAAATTAGTTGCATGACATTAGTTTCACCAAAAAATCGCGCAGGGCACGAAACTAATTTGCATGGATGAAATTAATGCATGCATTACGAAAGTATTACATTACGAAATTAGTGGCATGAAACTAATTTCGTAATGTAAATTCGCCTTAACTGTACAGATTAATCAATGTTAACGTTTCATATCGAATTGAATAATCGATTGACGTATGTGTGACGGTGCATCGCTCGAGAACGGCTCGATCGATTCCGCTGACTTCGAGTATCCTCCCTATTTGAGGGAACAGATGCTGTGTTGTCAATTAAAAAAAATTAACAACTTTCGCGGGATTTTTTTCGTACTCTGTATCCTAATTGTCGTGTTTCTTCTAACAGCTGTGTGTACAAAATATATTAAATAAATAAAATAAATAAATACAAAATTAATTAATAAATGAGTGTTTTGATATCTGTGACCGGGCTCAGCGTCGGCCTAACATGGACAGTGTATCCAAGCAACTACTTCAGCAGGTTGTCCCCCGGAGATATACCGCATGATGTGCGGCTGCTGGAACCCGACACCAAGCGACAGGCCGTCCTTCGCTACGATGACGGAAATGCTGCAAAGGTTCATACAGGTAACTAATACGAAGAAGTTAAACCATTACGAAAACAGACTTGAACAAAAAAATATAAGTACATCGTCAATGTATGTTGTTCGATTCGAACCCAGCGAGTTTTAGCTATTTTTTTAATATACCATTTGTTTCTTTTTTGTACCATTGGTTTCCCTAATAAATAAATAAATGTAGTCGAAGTCAATTAAATACGCATTTATCAGGGACAAATAGAAAAATACCGGTTAGATTTTGATAAAATTGAAACGAAAACTCTAAGAAAAACAATCATTTTTTTCTCCTGCCTTTGCTGATAGCCTTGAGAGGCTATATCAGCGTTATCCTAGCGTGTAGGTGAGCTCACGGGGCTCAAACCGGAGGTACATTTTCTTAATAAGAAGTTACGTCAATTTTTCCATGAAATGTTTTGCTAAATAATGATAATGATGTTGCACTTCGGATATCTTTTTCGTTCGTAATTTCGATTTGTCAAACGTTGCGAATGTTCTGGAACGCGCGCAGGACCCGACCATAGTGAGCGCGCCGCTGCCCGTCGTGCGCTCGCTGTTACCGCCCTCGCACACGCACCCCATCTCCAACGGACACCAGGTAACCTGCAGCATCAGCTCATAACTACAATTGCAATATGGAGGTGTCGATCCGATAAACAAGGCCGCCCACTGAGTTCCTCACCGGATCTTCTTAGTGGGTCGCGTTTTCGATCCAGTGTTGGCAACACTCCCGATTTGAGCCCCACCGACACGTCAAGGCGAAGCTGAAATAGCCTCTCAAAGCTATCAGCAGAGGCAGAAAAAAAAATGGCGTCGTAAAATGCGTCTAAAAAGTGGCATTACTAAATTCAAAAACAATAATGAAGTTAAACAACTAAGGCTATTAAAACAAATTGATTCGAAAGACGTAAAATATTTATTATATAGCATAGTGGTTTTACATCGTGATTTACACCTCCATAGCAAAATGAAGTAATCACTACCTATTTTGAAATGACTTATGTTTGACTGCACATACTAAAATAATTAGCTTACAATTCTTTTTTTATAACTCCAATACACCATCAAATAAGTCACAGATTTGTCAAAATTATCTAAGTTCAGTTTTTACGCAACATTACGGCACTCAACACTAAGCCTTAGATTGAAGTAAATATTTATAATAATTGGAATGGCAAACAGAAAAAATATAACTCTGATATAAAACGTAATGAATTGACGCCTTTAATTTAATAAAGAACTTAAATGTCTAAAATGTGGTCAAAAGATATATTGTTAATTTTTTTATTTACAGAAATCTTGTTTCAAATGTAATAAATAATCGGATCGAATGTGAACTAGGAATATCGTCGTTATCCTGACAACGTTGAGCGGGAAATAAGTTTTCGTAAGCTTCACAGTTCAACGTCTTAATGACACCTGTCATTTACTCGCAAATAGCCACAGACAACATTAAATTATGACTTTGTGTCCAACCTTTTTAGTATGAGCAGTCAAATCGACGGGAACCAAACCCGTCGTCTCTATAGCCAAAGTTCCAAAAACAAAAAAACTAATAAACGTTTTTTTTTTCATTCCCCGATTTCGCTCTGGCTACTAGAAGCAAGTAACTAAAATTGGCGTTTCTTTTTTTTCCTCAAACTTAAAACTAATTTTAATCACTCTTTAATGTTAGATGACGTTTTGTATTTTAAACGAATCGCAGCTTGCGAGTGGCGCATGAGTCGTGTACATTTTTACTACCCTTTTTTATTTCTGTTCGATCTAATACCCTGTCCTTGAATGATATTCGCGTAGAAATTTAGACCCCCGTAGTTTGTTTGAGATTCATTGGAATGTATTTTCATTGTTCATTATCATTAACCATCGATTAACGCGGCATGTGTCGTTATTAATACAATAACACGTGAGCGCGTCTCGCTTCACTCGCGGGATGCATTTCAATGAATCTCAATGTGGCCGTGGTATTGATAAATACTATTCAATGTTTACTTGCCTAGTAGCTATAGCGAGAGTCTTTATACCTTTTGAAGAGTTCCACGTATACCTTGGTCCGTGCGATGGGTTTTATAATAACATAACAGCAATGTGTTTGTCAGTGCCTTGTTTTTTTTTTTGGCCCTGGCCCTCTAAAAAGTTTCCAAATTCAAACGAATTTAATTGTAGGGTAATTCAATGTATAATATACAATCAATTTCGACCGACCAGAAATTTGATAAACACATTAAAGGATTAAGAATAATTCGGTTTATTTTTGATGAATACAAGACGGCAGATGTATGTAATATACTGTTCTGATCATTCTGTGGTGTAGTGTATTATGAACAGACTTAACCACTACTAGTGTTTGTCTCTTAAATTCTATTTGAAACGATTGTTAATCGAGCGAGTTTTATGTCCTAATATTTTATGAAACCCATCGCGATATGCACGTGTAGAATGTGATTACGAAACGGTGTGGGGAGATTAATTTTGTTTTCGATCGTTCGAAACGATTTTCGTGGTTGACTGACTTATGTGGTCTTTCTTTTTCCCGGGTAGAGATTCAATTGATTTTAAACAAAACATTACATATAAATATAACGTCATTTTTATTTATTATACACACGAAAGCGTGATACGCGTGTATAGTGTCTGTTTTTTTATTTTTATTTTTTATTTATGTGACTTAAACGATAACTTTATATAACTTTGTCAGTTGGTAGTTGGATCTCTTGTGAGTCCGCACGGGTAGGTACCACCACCTTGCCTATTTCTGCTGTGAAGCAGTAATGCGTTTCGTTTTGAATGGTGATCCAGCCGTTGTAACTATACTGAGACCTTCGAACTCATATCTCAAGGTGGGTGGCGGCATTTACGTTGTAGATGTCTATGGGCTCCAATAACCACTTAACACCAGGTGGGCTGTGAGCTCGTCCACCCAACTAAGCAATAAAAAAATAGTTGAATCGGCTTAAAATTATCCGATGCAAAAGTTTTAGAACGGGCTCAAAGTACTTAAAATAGCAACATAAGCTACCATCGAATAGAAAGAAAAAAGCGCGCCAAAGACCACATAATGACGTCATGTTTTACGAACGCTTGTCACCCCCCCTCCCCCCGCACCGTTGTACTGAGCGTCGCGTGTCGGCAGCCATCGGCGGCGTGCGACTACCTCGTCCCGATGTCGCCGCAGGACGCCACGCAACATCCGGATAGGTAAAGTAACAAAACGGAAGTCGGCAGTTCAAATTCAACATTCGAATTCTAAAAACGCAACCGGATTTTTCATAGATTTTTATTTTTTTATTTCTTGATAATGTAGTTCCGTAATTATAATCGTTCTTTTTTGTTTGTTTTCGTTTTGCGCGCTTAAAATAGTTTCTTAATTAGCAAATTCGTTAGATACGTTTGCTTTAGATTAGCTGATTGATGTGTATCTAGCTTTATGTAGAAGCCATGACACATTTAAAATTTATTATTTGAAATATCTGAAACTAGAAAATTGATAAAATAACTGCCGTCTTCCAAATATATATTTCATGTAACAAATTTTTAAACATGTTCATCATATTAGCGAATAGTTTTTTTTTTTTTTGTTTTTTAAATATCATTAATTAATAAGTTGTGTTGTTGTTTAAACCTCACATTTAATAAGACTTATTTATTTCACTTAAAATTGTACATAATATGTGTAAAAAAAGCGTGCGGCATGTGTTCAGTTTCTGAACGTAAAAATGTCAGCGAGCGACGTCCGCCATGACACCAAATTCTCTTTCGAATCTAGTTGCCAAGAGCAACGCATCAAATTTATAGTTTTCTTTAAAATACAGCCCACACTTAATTACCATAACGCAATATCATGTTTTATGTTTTTAGAAGGTACGTATAGCCTGGTGGGTGGTCTACCTAATGGTTATGACTTCCATAGACACCACAGTCTGATTCCCGATCCTGCGGACAGAATGGAAAGCAGTCGACGTCGCCCCAAACACGTAATTTCGGATCCTCCCGATCCACTAACGGTGCTTTTAGGTACCTCAAGCACGGTCACCGTTCTCAAGGGTTCGACGAGTAAATTATCCCACAGACACAGCCCACCGAGTTTCTCGCCGGATCTTCTCAGTGGGTCGCGTTTCCGATCCGGTGGTAGATTCTGCGAAGCACGGCTCTTGCTAGGGTTCGTGTTAGCAACGTCGTCAGGTTTGAGCCCCGTGAGCTCACCTACTAGTTAAGGTTACGCTGAAATAGCCCCTCATACTACCAACAAACAGGCGGGGGGAAATAATAATTTAAGATACTGAATGCAAGATGAAGCCGTACAATAGACCCTCGACTTAAATTTGAGGTTTATTCGACAACATAAAAAATAATTTTTTTTATGCAAAGCATGTTTTAGTCAAAAATAATTGTAAGAATTCAATAAGTTCGCTAAATGCTCATAGTAGGTTTCCTACTTCATTGTAAATGCTTCATAAATGCTGTCACGATTAAATGTCAAACATGACAGCTGTCACTTGAATTAAAAGGCCGATGTGGCCAATTCTAAATAAGGGAACGTCGCTAGAAATCGTAGAATAATTTAAAACTTTAGGAACAATCTGTTTAGAAGCTCTAATAATATTTTCAGTACCGTTTAACTCAAATCTTTTTAGTTGTGAGCAGGGAAAACAAAAGCTGAATATATTCTAAGGAATTTGATGAATCTCCGTGATCCAACATAAATAAATAAACGATACGACGTATTAATTATATAAAAGACATTAATTACTTGCCTATATATGACAAAATCCTTCCAAAATATTTAGTTTTTGTCTCTGCAGTGCATATTTGGCTTGGACAGCGATGTTAGCTATGTAACGATTAGGGCAAAAGCTCAGTGGTCTTTAGTGAATTGTGTATCTGATCTATTCATCTCAAAAGCTCTTCTGTAATTTACTAAGAAAAGAAAAAACCTCAATGTGTCCACAGGTGAGGATCAATTTTGAAATGATTTATTACAGAGAATTAAAAAACATTTGTCCGAATAATTAATGTAACTTGATTTTATTACGCACCATCATGATCTAGGAATCCTTTGTTTTGTCATTCAACTTACAACAAGATCGAAACAGACAAATACGTAATAAGTTATAAGCAAGATTATGTTTTACTTCCGATTAACTGTTATTTAACTTCCACTTAACTTAGGCCTTGATTTTTTTTTTCAAAATAGACACGAAGTGAAACAAGTAAACCAATTTATTCACACAACACTGCAAAAATTTAGTTTGCTTTTGTTCCGTCCCGCCATTATTTTGACAGTTTAAAAATGTCACTAACTATTTTCTATTTATATTTCCATAACAAATAAACGTTTCAATTTTACTATAAATAAAAACATAGCTAAATAAATGTGAATATTACCTATCTTTGTTTTAATTTTTTTTAAAAACTTGCCATTCCAAGACTATTCTTTCACGATACTTACTAATACCCTCTCTAAGAAAGTATTGCCGTGTTTCCAGTACAATGGATCAGCTGGGAGTTCATAGCAGACCGCAAACGGCGACACGCAACAAGGAGGAAGAAGAGGACTTACAATATCTACCTCTGCTGAGAGGTATATCTGCTTTTTTTTATTGCTTAGATGGGTGGACGAGCTCACAGCCCATCTGGTGTTAAATGGTCACTGGAGCCCATAGACATCTACAACGTAAATGCGCCACCCACATTGAGATATGAGTTCTAAGGTCTCAGTACAGTTACAACGGCTGCCCCACCCTTCAAACCGAAACGCATTACTGCTTCACGGCAGAAATAGGCAGGGTGGTAGTACCTACCCGTGAGGACTCAAAAGAGGTCCTACCACCAGTAATTACGTAAATTATAATTTTGCGGGTTTGTTTTTTATTACACGATGTTATTCCTTCACCGTGGAAGTCAATCGTGAACATTTGTTAAGTACGTATTTCATTAGAAAAATTAGTACCCGCCTGAGATTCGAACACCGGTGCATCGCTCAACACGAATGCACCGGACGTCTTATCCTTTAAGCCACGACGATTTAAGCTTTGTTTAATGTTGTACAGCTAAATTCCTTCTTATCTAGCTAGTTTAGTTACAACAAGTTATCTTCTAGTTATAGCCATAAGAACCAAAATCTATTTTTTTACACACCACATGAGGGTAAGTGGTCACCCTCATTCATCGACGTCGGACAATGCACAATCGTCGCTTACTCCAAAGATAAAACAAATTTTATCTATACATTCTGTGAATGAACTAAAAACTACCATTTTCGCAGCATCACAAGAATATGGCAACATTCCAATAAGCGCGGAGCCGAGCGTAAGGCACGTAGACGTCGTTGTTTCCGCCGAAACAAGGAACACCAACAAGTTTCTGCCGTCTAACTCTACTGACAGGTGGGTAGTCAATCAAACTATCAACATTTCAGTCGTGGCGAGCACACTGTGTACGCTTACAAGATGTTCCAGGAAGATAAAATATAAATAAGTCATAATGAAGTCAATGTATGTATGTATGTTTGTGTGTATGTATTTGTAACTTAATATAAATTTCATTGCACCTACCACTATTCAATCTGCACTACCGTTGGTGGACTGGTAGAGAATGCCTTAGGCATTAAGACCGCCAATGTAAATTTTACATGAAGTGTAATAAATAAATAAATAAGATATAGTAAAAATATATGTAGTAGTAAAATAGATAGGAATTATTTTCTTTTAATTTTATTACTTCATCGAGGAAGTAATTCTTTAGAATATGTTACATACATTTTTGGTTATAAAACGCGTTCCTTAAGTTTTTTTCTTTTTTTTGAGTTTCAAACACTGGCATAATCCAGAAATTCTCTGGACATTTTATTCCTTAAGTCAAAATGAAGTCAATAGTAATCTATGGAATAGACTAAACGATAACATCTAACAAAAAAATGGGTTGTCTGTAAAGTCGGTTTACTCATGATAGTTGAACGTGACAACGTCATAAGAAAATACTGATGACATGGTTTCATTTTTCAAAAGAAAATTTTAATTTTATTTGTTTGATAGATATTTTGTATGGACAATTGACACATTCACTTTTCACTGAACTTCATACTTGACGAAAACATGTAAATGTATTATTGTATAGCAGCTGTCCACGCGGATGCATCGGTCACTCAAGTAGGAGAGAGACAGATGTCGAACGCTGCCGAACACGGAGGCCGATTGTGCCTCTTTGTCGCTCGTTGCGCGCTCTCGCTTGCACTTCAAGCCTTAAATGGAACGCCTCAATGAGTCATGTTTTTTCGTGCGTACAGCCATCGAATTATAAGACGTTGTCACGTCAAAAAACTATCTTTGGTTCGTTTTAAGATTTAAAAGGATCTTCATTACAGGCTATTGAGTTCAGTGGAAGAAGCTCATATCGATGATGAATCGTTGTCGGAAGTGGACGAAAAGCCCGTCGTGTGGGAGACCTCATTCACAGAGATACCGCCCGTGCTGCCGAAGCCACAACGTGACGAAGGACCCGCGGTCAGTTGTTTTATAAGTCAATAATAACATCACATTATAATTAATTGTAATTTGCGTAATTACTGATGGTAGGGTGTCTTATGAGTCTACAGGGGTAGGTACCAACACTCTGCCTATTTCTGCCGTGAAGCAGTAATGCGTTTCGGTTTGAAGGGCGGGGCAGCCGTTATATTGTAAAGACCTTGCAACTCATGTCTCGAGGTGAGTGACGGCTTTTACATTGTAGATGTCTATGGGCTCCGGTAACCATTTGACACCAGGTGGACCGTGAGCTCATCCACCTATATAAGCTATAAAAAAACAGACGTACGTTTAATTACTTCAAATTTTAATGTATTTCATGTTTCTCAAAAATAACCTAACTGAAAATCACTAGTTTCTATAAAATTCTTTGATCTTGCTTTAAAGAATTTAAAAAAATAGTTTGTAAGATAAATTTCTATGTAATTAACTCTAAACCGTATCTAACGTAACATCTCGATCAGGTGGAAAAACTGATAAGCATAACACCCACAACGCCAAAGCCGCCTGAAAATGCTTTAACGAAAGCAATCGACGCCACAGTCATCGACAAAACCAACCACAAGAACGCTCTCGTACCGGACAGGAAGACGGCTCCAATAGCGTCGCCGGACCCGCCGCGCATTAACGCTTGGAGCCAGGACCCTCCTAAATTAAACCCTAAACCGAAGCCCCTGTGTCTGGACGCAGCCAAGCTGGAACAAAACCTGAACGCCCTGAAGAAAAACAGCGGGTCAGTGAACTTGAACACCATGAACATACTCCCTCCGTACATCAACGTCGTCACTCCGAATAAGCTAAGCGAATCAAAGACCATACAGATAGATCCAAAGAAAGCTGTCATAGACGATAGCGTGACCTCTAAGACTAAGTTGAAGCAGTCTAACTCGGCGGCCAGTCTGCTAAACGGGCCAATGACGGACGTGCCATACGTCGACAGCGACAACACCTCATCATCGAGCAGTAACAACGCGAAGAACGGAAGGAACTTAATTAAAAAACAGGGTAGTGATGCTGAGGTAGCCGATTCCGAGATAAGTTGCTGAAAAGGCGTGTCGTCGTTTGAAAGACATTAAAAAACTAACCTAGTTGTACATAGTAGGAATTTTTGTATCGATTTAAGCGTCGTGATTTGTAAAGTTTGGGTGTTTTTTTGTTTTTCGTGATTCGTCTGGCAACCCTGCGCGGGTCAACGTCACGCCACAGACACGTCACACTCTACATATTAATAAAACTATTAACAAGAGTAAGGTTAGAAATAAGTATTTGTAAAACTAAGGTAGTTGTTGGATTAAGACAAAATAATATAAATATGTGAATGTTATTTTGAATTTGTATTTTTATCGAAGTGTACAGAAAGTTTGCGTTTACTAAAGAGATTTGAAAATTTTAAATGCTTTAACCGCGATGAAGGCTTTTAGGGAAACCAATTATTGTATTGCTCAAGAATCTCATCGCAAATATCATAAATCGATAAAATAAGAAGAAGAATAAAACCTCTAAATTTGACTCGTGAATTGTTTTCGTGGATTTCGAACGTTCTGGACGGGCTCAACAGTTTGCTTAGATTGCGAGTTTTTTAACGTTCTCGATAGCGTAAACGTTAACTCATAATTGTATGGAATGAGATCGTTCGCCTACGTTTGCCGCTAGGGGCGCTGTTCCAATTGCATACAAAATTGGCTTAACTTTTACGCTATCGAGAACGTTAAAAAAAACTCGCACTAAGCACTCAGAACATCTACAACAATGATACGTGCAAGGTAATGATCTATACCATTGGCCGGCGACCTGTGGCTTTCGACTCCTCAGCTACGGCTCTTCAGTGAAATTTTATGTTCAAGCACGGACTATTACTTGTTATCTCTATCTTCTCATCAATAACGCCCCCGCAACTGGTGTGGGGAGTCCAACATTCATATAAATATTAGCCTATCTATTAAGTAGATGTATTTTCTACATGGATACCAAGTTTCAAGTCAATCGGATGCATGGTTCAGTAATTATAACGGAACATCCGTAAAAACCATTATAGAGATAATGTTTAAAAAAAATTGTTCTTTGAATAGATTTCAATTGTCTTGTTATCTTTGCTCTTTTGGTTGACAAGGTTGTCGAACACTGGTCTATGCGATACCTTCACGTAACATTCTGTTGTAAATCGATGTTTACGAAAACAATACTAATGAGTATTTTCGATGGGTTTTTTTTATATAAAAAAAATTATTATTGGCTGTCTGTAAAGTCAGTTTACGGACGATAGTTTAACGTGATAACGTCATAAAGAAACATTAGTGAATGCTCTAAAATAGCATGCTAAAAAGCGTGCTATTGAGTATGCTCAATACGAGCATGCTTATGAACAGTTTACATTTGCTAGCAATAGGCATGCTAGTTTTAAGTATGCTATTTATTTATGCATTATATGTATGTATTTGTATTATACCTGTTGCGAACGACTGATCGATAATAGCATGCTCAATAAGCAAAGCTGTTTAGACGCGCTTAAAGCACGTCTTTACGTACCACCCGCGCCGCAGGTAGCATGCTCAAAAATCGCACGCTTGTTGATTTTTAAGCAAACTCAAAATGAGCATGCTACTTTTGAGCAACATTCCGACACACATGCAGCTAAGTAGCAACTGCTCAATAGAAGCATGCTTTCATGCTTGAAATGAGCATGTGTAACTGTACCTTAATACTTTTATGAATTAAAATCACTGAATTATCTTAATTTCGCATAATGCAAAGAAGCAGTTAATTGAAAATTCTAATTTTTTCCTTAAATTAACGCTCGCTCCGATCGTGGCTCTCTATCGCTTATTCAGCGCTCTCGTTCGCACGCTCATGCGGAACGTGACACTTTTTCGTGCGTGCAGCCGGCGTTGATAAATTTTTAAGACGTTATCACGTCAAAAACGAACCCTTTTCCTAATTGTTACTGTCTCATTGTAGTATTAGTTATTTTAATCTATCAGATCCCAATTAAATAATTCTACGTGCCAAATAGTTATCTAGTACGAAAAGATTTATGTTTAAGAAAAGATACATATTTTCGAAATGAGACGCGCACAATGCTTTTTGAAGAATGTTTACATTATAGTTACGGCAGCCGAAGACAAATGAATAATTTTCATTGAAATTTTTTGATGTTTCTATTCTATTCTATCTGTATTCTAATACTTACTATGTATTATATCTTCCTGTGTGTGTTATACTGAGTTCAGAATCCAATTTACCGTTAACAATCAATTTATTAGTTTCACTTTCCCCACTACGGAAAATTATGTTTTATATTTTCCCCTACCAAAAATATAGTGCCAGACAAATTCCTAAAAAACATTTTTTTTTAATCTGGTTAGCTTGGTGCGCGTGAAAGAAGTGAAACTTCTTTTGCGGTGTGTAGTATTGTGGGTTTCTTCATATTTTCACCCTTAAATCATTAGTTTCTCGTGTAATAGGGAATGCTGTGTATAAGAGAAACGACTTAGCTTGCTTTGTCCTTTTCTTCTCCCCACGGTCGAGTGGTTCGCGAGACGCTCTGTCTATTTTCTCACTCTCGCTCTTCCTAAATCGTATCTTTTTTCTCTAGCCGTAACGAATTTGTCGTGACTTAAATTTTATTCTCAACGCGCCTAAAGAAGTTTCACTTCAAACACTCTTCATTGATTCAATTTCAAATAACAGTCTACAACAGGAAGACTAAAATTTAAAATGATTTATGTGCAATCTGTACGTCTTGAGTGTGAAATCTAACAGAGTAACAAAAAAGCAATATATTTTTAACAGCACTACATCCTATCTAATTTATTCGTTTGTTTGGTAACTAGTGACCCTGTTTGAACCACGGGGTCCAAATTACATTTAATGTCAAATTTCTGTATTAAAGTTAAAAACTTTTCAATCGGATACACTGATTAGTCTCTCATATGTTACCGGTGCGTAAAACACAAGTAAACATTTTTAATTTCCGGTCGTTGAGTGTGTAATGGTAATAAATTTTTTTTGTGTGTTTTTTTCCTCATATTTTAACATAATAGAAAAAATACGAATTGTAATTAGAAACGAACATGCAATCCATTATTTTCACAGAAGTATTTTACGTAAATACAGTTGGCAAGGTTTGTCAATAATAATGCTAAGGAGGGTAGAGGTAAGGAGAACCGCCTCATATGGGAGAAACTTGAAAAAGTGCCCCACTTCAGCAGTAAATAACAATTCAAAAATCCTCCAGAATGGCGCTAGCATAGGCACAGGGTATGATATGAATTGAGCAGCTGTTAACTGATTGAAGTATGCCGAGTTAGGAAATTTAATATATTTCATGGCTAGAGTAGTTAGTGACAGTGTAATATACAAGACCTCACATGTTTACGTAGTCCAAACTAATTTCATCAATATAACTTAAAACTATTGCTGTGGTAAAACGTGGAGACATCGATTGCATTTTTCTTATCAGCTTTAAATAAATTACTTTTTTTGGTTTTGTAGTGCTTACAGTTCTTTCGTCCTTTTTTATTTTTCTATCATATTCTAATAACTTTCAGCGCCTTTTTTTAAATTTACCCTGTTGCTACTGTAGTGCCACCCTTATTTAGCAGATTTTAACGGACACTTTTTCACACACAGAGACGGTTCTCCTTACCTCTACCCTCCATAGTAATTACTATAGAGTTGACAAGATTTGTCAATAATGCATTGATGACGTAGACGCCAATGATTTTAAAATGTATTTGAAATCTGAAGATACAATAAAAAAAAAAGTTCGATCAATAAGTCTCAGAAGCTTACTTCACTAAGGCGTTTTGAATTATACCTAACGAGTTTCCTTCATTATGTTCAAAAAATAAAATAAATCCTAAACAACTTACACTTTTACAAATGGAAACAATAATATTATTTCACGTTCCTATTTAGTCGCGTTATACTTTACGAAGCGAGAATTTTTTTGAGATTGAATTGAAAACTTTTGCTCATAAAAAACCCACCATTATTGTGTGATCTAAGTATTTGATAGTATTTCTCGCGTAACTAACAAACGTGTCCTTGCCATTGTAGTTTTCAATTTTAAACTATAAAACTAACAGTAACTGTACTTCTACGGATTACTGTAAAATGAGACGTTATTTCAAGAATTTCGATTTTTCAATTTCCTCATTTGTTTATTTTTTAAACCAATAATTTTTGTGTCTTTGACCGCTTATTCGATTTAGCGTTTTTGTGTTGCCAACTCTTGGAAATTAAATGACACAATTATTTGTGACGTAAAGAACACTTTGTTCTGAAAATTCTGTCTGGTGAGTCAGACACTTGATTTTTTCGGGTTTAGTTCAGACTCAGATGATAACAAAAGAAAATGCAGAGAAAAGTTCAACTTTATGTATTTAGAAACACGGTAGGTTTATTTATAATTCCTATAAATTTACCAGACAAAATGATTTCACATTTCGTGGTTACTTAGTTTCAAATAAATGAAAAGAAGTCTTAGTTTATTGTAAATGTTGTGAAATTATTACTATGTCAATTCATTCACTAATAATTTTCTGGTCGTTTTTCATTGAATCAGTAATAATTAAACATTACTAAAGAAATAAATCTTTGATTGATACTTAACATTTTATATGGGGCTTTTCTTCGCAAAGTAACGATGAAGCACTGCCTTTACTTAAACAGTACGAACATACTTATTTACCTCCATTAAAATAATTGAAATCCGAAAATTCTCGACATTCCAGTCGAATTTTACATGTAATCCAATAAACTATACTATAACATGTATATTATTGATAAAATTGTGTGTTTAATCACATAAGAAATGCTTTAATTACACTGTAAGAATAGATTATAAGATTTCACTGATACTGCTGTGAGAAAACTTTTGGAAGCTCAGTTCTAAATATTTTATAACACGATTCGAAACTTTTGTGAACGATATTAAAGCCTTACTGTCGCAACTTTGATAACAACAATGATCTTTGTTTTCAAATTATATTCCGTATTTCAATTAGACCGTAGTAAGATCTGAAATAAATAATAAAAAGTGTTTAGTTAATTTCTGTTTAAACTATGTAAATTTTTTA